ACGGACAGATTGGCGTACAACGGTTTTATGTAGGCCTCCACGAGCGGTGGCGCCATGCGTTCCGGATCTCCGCCGCCAATGTCGCGGGCAATCAGCCGACCAGATTCCAGAACCAGCGCCTCCTGCATGATCCGCTCCGCATTGGGACTATCAATCAGCACGGACAGCGAGCTGATGCGTTGCTTCTTCGCCGGGACATCCTCGCGCAGTTGAATGGGCTGGGCGAGGAATTGAGAAAGTACAGTAAAAACCAGCTGAGTTGAGCCTGGATTGACATACCACATAGAGCTCCTCCAGAGCGCCAAGGACCGTGCACAGCTCCGCCTGGGAGAAGCGTTTGCTCTTGGGCACCACCAGAAGCGGCGCCTGGAAGCCGGCCTATATCAAAGCAAGGATTGGTATCAGCTTTATATACTCGAGTACCTACAAAGGCCAATCGAACCCACCTTAATGGCCCGCTGCAGGGACTGGGCGGCCGCCTTCTGATAGCAGCGCACGTCGGCATAGTCCGTCAGCTCCTGGACGGGCGCATAGATCACGGGCAGATTCAGTTGCGACGACTTGAAGCACGAGACGACGCTGTCGAAGGCCTTGTCGAAGGCGCGATGCTCCTCGAACGTGTCGGCCAGCTCGGCGGGCACAGCGCGATCAATGACGCACAGCACATCGTAGCTGGACTTGGCCAATATACTGGACAGCTTAACGGTGCAGGGCAATAGTCTACATGGAAAGAAATAAAAAGGTTTAGAAAAAATTGCACTTTTTAAACGATTTAAAAGTGATTGAAAATCAAATAAGCCTTAAAAAAAGTTGTGAGAATATTTCACGAGTAGAAAATGGGTGAAAATGCGAGTTATTGAATTTACGAATATGATATTTATATAAATAGGTGAAAACTCTTTTGAATAATCAGCAATGGTTCCGGTAATTTAATAATAATAAATATTTCCCTTTTTCATCGATTTAAAAGTGGTTGCTAGTGAAACAAGCAAAAAACTCAGTTGTGAAAAGATTTCACTAGTGGAAAATGGGTGAAAATGTAAATTATTGAATTTAAGTTAAAAAAAACCTGGCTCGAATAAGGTCGGTTAATATTTCCTGTAATATACATGTGTTTATATAAATATAGCGAAAGCTCTCTTGCATACACAAAACTTTGTGGAATTGAAGTGGATTTGGTGTTGGCAAAATAAATGAAAATATGTATTTCGAGGTATTTATTTGATTATATTGGGGAACTAATTCTGAAGTACCCTCAATTTTCACTTTAATTTATGCAAAGCAGCTGACAATTGGTTTCGTTTTGGGAATGAAAACAACTCGGATAACGTTTCCACTCGGAACTCGAGAACATCCGAAAGCAAACGTGTCGAAACGTACTTGTTTTTACGGTTGAAATCGAATCGAAATCGAAAAGTAGAATTGCATGCATATATTCCCATTCATTTAATTGCTGCACGCAGTTAAAACTTCATTGAAATGCAATTTAATCACGTCGGTCCTTTTTTTTTATATTTTATTTTTTTTTCAATTACTTGTCAATCGAATGGGAAGGGCAATTGCGGGCTACACGCCTTGCTAAACAATGCATGTATGCATGTGTGTATGCATGTATGCATGCATGTATGTATCCATGTGTGTATGCATATATGCATGTGTGTATGCATGTATGCATGTGTGTATGCATGTATGCATGTGTGTATGCATGTGTTAAGACTTTGTGGGGCGTATTGCTGATAAGAAGATAATCTCAATTTCTCAAGTGCGCTAAATAACTGCGATTGCGATAAGTTTGATAAGCTCATCAAGAATTGTTTAAACTTTCCTTTCAAAGCACGTTTGACGGACAAGGGCCGTTATTTGAAAAGAATAAAGCAAACAAAAGAGCGTAAAGAGAGGGGAGCTTTGCAGCCGCTCTTCGTTGGAGCTGTCCTTGCAAATGGCGGCGACAGCTCTAATTTATTTACCAGCAGTTTGGCCAATTTAGCAAGTTTATAGCTGTGTTTGGCTTTTTCAGAGAAAACAGCTGACACTAAACAGATTTCCATTTTTGTTTTTTTTTTCGGTATCTCAGTAAACCTGTGTTTATTGCCAATTTGTGCTCAAAAAGTTAATCTAGCTATTTTTAATTGGCTGCAGATTGTTTTTTTTTTTAGCGACAGTTGGCAACTCTAATGCAAGCAGATCTCATTTAACTTACTTCTCGAGTCCCATGTTGATGATGATGATGTGGAGAGCGGCAACGACTGCGGCGAACGGCAAGTGGAGAGTCACTGACTGGGCAACACGGGCGTGCGTTGAGATTGCAAATACACTGGAATACTGGAACTGGAAGTGGCGATAAGCTGCCGATAATGTTTGCTTATATTCTTGTTCGTTCTTTTTTAATTTGTTGCTTGTTATTAACGAAAACGTTTGCGTTGACAGCACAAATGATTGTGTTTGATTTTGCAGCGCAGCAAGCGGCCTTTATATAGCGCGCAACGCGACGCCTTTGTTTATAACAAACAACTGTCCACGACCTATGATTAATTGTCGGAATGCAATAATTGAAATTTTAGCAGTAGCCACAATAACAACAATAATATTGCACTCCGGCTTCTACTCACGTCGTTGCACTGAGCAAACGCAAACACTTGGCGCTTGGCTTTGGCTTGGCTATTCTCTTGCCAGTCACGTTCACGGCTGCTGTTAAAAGAGCGAAGCGAAGCGAGGCGAGGCGAGGCGAGAACAGCTGACGGCTGTTGAATAAAGCCGGTCAGCTGTTCGGGCGCAGCGTTGCCAACTATAGCAAAAGTGAACTCAACAATATTTAAATGTAAAATATATTTGCCCCTTAATTGTGTTTAAACAAATGTTTGCCAAAAAAAAAATTGTTTGTTATGTTAAAAACATTTTTTTTTTTTGTTACAATACAAAAATATAATCTAAAAATATGTCAACTTAGTTCGTTTACATAAATATATAATTTACATATATTCCATGTGGATTATAAATCCTATTCTCCATTTATATAGGCCTGTATGTCATTAATTAGCTGCGGCAGCTGTTTGGCATCCAGCGCCAAAAGTTTTCTGTACGGTTTTAGGACGCCCTTCTTGGCCCGCGGGCTCTCATCGGCCAGGCCCGCATCGCATTCGGCATCCACGGTGAACTCAAAACTGAACTTGGAGCGCTCGACCAGCAGCTCCTCCTCGGCATTGGTATACTGATCCTCGTCGGAGGTGCTCTTCTTGGCCGCATTGCGATGGAATTTGACCAGCAGCAGCAGCGTATCGAAATTGAATTTCATTTTTTTGGCCTTGGCCGTCTCGATCTCCTGCTGCAGATTCTGTAACAACGGCACGGATATCTGTGCGGGTATGTTGATGAAGCGCTCGTTGATCAGGAAGCCGACGTGGCTCTGTTCGTTGTGCAGCAGTTCGCGCAGCTGCTTATGCACCTGCTTTGTGGCATGCTTCTCGGCGCGTTCCAGCAGATATTTGCGCAGCTGTTCAATGACGGGCTGCTCCTTTTTGGCCGTCAGATTCAGCACGGAGGTAATGCCAAAGATGGTATCGTCCTCGACCATGTTGTCATCCGTTTCGCTCTCGGGCCCATCGTCGAGGCACTGGCAAATAACGCTGCCCACAAAGTTTTGAGCTGTAAGGGAAAGACTTTACTAAAGATGTACATAGGAGTTATGGATGAATTGTTACCAATAAGCAATTGGGCCAACTGATTGCAATTGATTTCCGCGCGCGGAAAGAGACGCTGCAGCAGCTGCGAAATGCCTTCTGCATCGGGATCTATCGGAGCGCGTCCTTCAAACTCCACTTGCAGCTCCTGCGAATGGGTTATATTAACTATGTAATTTGTCAAAACTTTGGACTGACAACGCCTACCTCTGTGCCCTTGTAGACATCCGAGTAAGATTCTTCGCTGTCCTCACTTTTCATATCCTCATCATCGTCTTCTTCTTCTTCTTCATGTTCCCTCTTGTCATTGCTTTCGTTATTTTGAGCTTCTTCGTCGCTGGAGCTGTCGGCTTCCTCATATGTCATTGCTTCTGTTTTCTTGTTTGCTGACATATTGTATTTTTAAATTTATTTCTATTGTGCAGCAAACGAATTCTGCCGAAAACCAAAAACTCTCAGCTGTTTGTCAACACACGTGTTGGCTTGGCCTTGCCAGATCGTCAGAGTACGCACTTGTTCATTTGAATCACTGCGTTCACGCTGGTTCACTCTTGTAAGCTGTTCGCGCGGGGAAAATAATCATATCGGTGCCTTAAATATAAACTTTTACTGTTCGCCTGTGAGATAATGTGCTTAAAATCTTTAATCAAGCCACAATTACAATGCGAAAAGTGCATCGACTTCTTATTTGACAGTTTCCTTTTACACTATACAAAACAGTTGCTTATGGTTAAATGTGTGTGCATCGCCGTCATGTTTCGCCCCTTTTCAGCTGCTCCTCGTATTGCTGCTGCGTCAACAAACTGGCCTTGATATCGTCGCAGTTCTCGATCTTGGGCAGCAGGATGGCAAAGTAGCCTGCACCCTCCGGCGCCAGCTGCAGCTGCTTGGCGTCCGCCAGCAGCGCCGTGTTGACCTCGACAAGTTTGCCGCGTATGCAGCTGGGTATTTTATAGGTGTTGCCCGCGTCTGTGGTGAGCACGGCCAGCGTTGTGTCCGCCTGCAGTATCATGCCGCCCTTCTTGGCCTTGCCCTTGACCACATTCTGGCTGCGATCGACGTTGCCCACATTGTAGCTGACCTTGGCAATGCCCTCGCCGTAGGCTGGATGCGTGGGCGCCAGGCAAACGAGGCAAATGCGATTGGAGTGATAGAGCAGCTGGTAAGCAGCTCCGGCTTTGATATAGTAGTAGCGTGTAAAGAAGCGATCCACCATGCTCGGATAGTTCATCATGGCATTATAGCAGTCCGTAATGGGGCTCACCAGCTGCCCACAAATCAGCTGCTCCTCCTGCTGAAAGTAGTACGGCGCTAAGGGATCCTCTTCAAGCGTTGCCATATCGTTTTAGTTGGCTTCGCCCTGCTGCAGTTTCTCCTTGTACCTGGCCTGACGTTCACGGGCCTTGGCGCGATTCGCAGCGGAGCGTGCAATACGCTCGGATTTCAGGCACTTGACCACCTGGTCGTCGATCGTGTTGCAAATGCCAATAAACTTGGCAAAGGCGTGCTGCAGACAGGTGAGGCATTGTGTTAGCATGGCGCAAAACTGGTTGCAAGCGCTTCACTTACATTTTCGTGACAGGCTTTGAGTTCCTCGATTAATTTATTGCAGGCCGGCGTGTGTAAATGTGATGCCAAATCTGTGTGCATCTTCAACTGCTTTCGGACTAGTGAAACATATGTAAGTCAATTTATTTATTTATTTTTTTCGTTACTCTTACGCAAATGTGTTTATCGGACTGTTATCGGTTTGCCGATAATAATAATACTAAAAAATGCCAAAAACAAACGTTACTCAAGAGCCAGCTGATTTGACAACTGAGTGAAACACGCTAAAAAATGCCAAATGCAAACAATACTCAATAGCAACGGTTGCTTGGGTTTTTATTTTTGAAAAGAGTTTTTTGGTATTTTCAGTTTTGTTTTTTAAATTTTATTTATCGGACTGTTATCGGAGATAAATGAAACGTGTTGCCGGCCGGTTTAACAACTGATTAAAACCCGCTAAAAAATGCCAAATGCAAACAATACTCAATTGCAACGGTTGCTTGGGTTTTTATTATATTTGAAAAAGAGTTCTTTTGGTATTTTAAGTTTTTGTTTTATTTTATTTATTTGTGTATTTTACCCGCTCTCACAGTTTATTTTAAATATGTTGTCAGCTTGTCGTATTATATATTGTCAAATCTGACATATTTTATATATCTCACATGCCTTTTTATTTATCATTCGTGCATAATTAGAAAAAATTGGTTTAACGTCTTCACTGTTTACTTTTTACCAAAAAGTCTTATCAACTACATCATCGAAATAGGGTTGCCTGAAAAATAAACTAACTTGTGTTGATTGCTCAAAAACCTGTTCAAAAACACTGCTAAACTCTCAAAAAATTGTGCGCTGTTGTAACAACTAGTTAAAAACTGGGTTGCACGGGATATATTCCAATCTAGGTGAATATGGGGTTTTATGTTAGATATCGTCAATAGATCGTATTTAATTTTGCTCTGCCTGTTCGTTAAGTTACCTACGCTCAGCTGATTTAACTCTACTAGAAAGACTCAATGCTATCTCTCTCTGCCAAAATTCACCAAATGGTGAATATGTGTGTATGCTTGTGTGTGTTTGTGTGTGTGTGTGGTTTTTACGCTCTCACTTGTGCATTAGTTTCTCTCATAAAGCTCTCAGTTCGGTTATATTATAAGTATTTAAAATAAAATTCCAGCTCAGATGAAAATAAAAGATTGATATGTTAAATAACAAAGAAAAAACACTCTCCAAAACTCTCCAATAATAAAAATCATCGCTCTCTTTTGTCTTACGCTGTTGTTGTTGTTCTTTTTCTTGTTCTTGTTCGTCAATGCTTTGTGTGTGTGCGTCAATGGATGACAAGTACGTTAACAATATATTGCTCTCAATTGTTTTTCTCTCTCGCTCACGCTCGCATTATTTTGTGTCTCTCTCTCTCTCTCTCTCTCTCTCTCACGCTCTCACTCTCCATTGCTGATGCAGTTAATTGTCTCTTAGACAGTTACCGTTGTCGATGTCACATTCTCTCTAACTCTCATTAAAACAAACTAAATGGCAGGTTTACTCCTCGACGGAGCCAATACCTCAACTCGTCTTTTTCGGCTCGGCCTGCACGTGGCTCGCCTCCGCCTCCGCCGTCGCGCCGGCCTTTAGCGCCTGTGCCTCAATGCTGGCCAATGCGGCTTCCGACATTTTCTTGTATTTGCCCGCCAATTCGGGCAGCTCGTAGGCAATGGCCAGATCCAGCTTGGTAATGGGACAGCCCCGGAAATAGGTGCATGTCTCCGAGAGCTTCTTGAACTCGTACAGCGGATTTAGACGGAAAAAGTCGCGGTAAACCTCCGGGTCGGGCAAGTCGTAGCGCGAGATATTTGTCAGCGTGGACAAACCCTCATAGATATGATAGTTCTGCGGATGATCAATGATATCATCCGAGATGCGCTTCTTGTTGCCAAACAGAGTCTTGTGATTGTAGTAAGTGTTCAAATAGCAGTCCACCATCTTGGCATGATTACGCACGCGCACCTGCAATTAATGAAGGTAGTTAATCTCTCTATATGTGCATAGATGGGTTAGAGCCCTGCAGCAAGTAATTTACTTGAATTCAACTCGGATATTTAATCGATTTAACCCAAAACCGAATGTGTTCAAACAAGTGTTTCATCAAACGAAGTTCGATCTGTGCGAGTTGCAACATGTTCGAACGCAAACGAGTTTGAAGCGAGCTCGATTAAGCTCGAACTGTTTTTTTTTTTTGCTCAATTTGTTCTCTCGGTGCAGGGCTTCGTTATGAATACTCACGGCAAAGCGACGAGCGCTGGCAATTTTGTGTTCGATACGCTTATCGATCGCAGTGCGCAGATCGCGCAGGAAGGCGCGCTCCTGGGCCAGCAGCAGGCGTGCCGGTGCGCCCTCCTGGTAGGGATTCGTCCACAGCGATGTGGTGTACATGAGTGGCGGCTGGGCGGACGACATCAGCGGCGAGATGTTCCAAATGAGTGCGCCCTGTACGCGCAGCAGCTCTTCGGGCTTGACGGTGTCCGCCTTGTTTAGTATGATGCGCGTCTGATACTCACGCCCCTTCAGCTGATCGAGTATGGCCTCCGTCTCGGGGCCAACATCCAACTTGGCTGGGTCGTAGACCAGAAAGATGATGTCGGCGCGATCGATAAACCACTGGCAGGCATCATTGAAGGGGAAGACGCGCGACACCTGCTTGCGTACCTCGAGTATGCCGGGTATCTCGACGATGTTGACCTGAAAAATTCAAAAATTCAAAAATTCATGTGTGTCTGTCTGTGCGTGTGTGTGTATGTGGCGCACATCAGCTTTAATTTAGCCATTGTCTTTAGCTATTTTCGACATTTAATAACCAAATACTATAAATTGTGCTCTTGGGCAATTTGCCAGAGCCTGAGCATATCAAAAAACATATTTCCCAATCGACGAGCTGCCCTGCCAAAAGCTATTTGGGCGACAAGTTAATGCACTTGGGCAACAAGTACTTGGGCCTGGCCTATATGTTATATATATATATTTATATCTGGTTACCTTTTCGAGCAGCTTGTTCTTCAGCTTCAGGCCGCGCAGACGCTCCTCCAGACCCTGACCGAATTTCTGCAGACCCGAAAAGGTATAATCGGCGGCCAGTTGGGTGCCATCCAAGACCTCCGTCTCATTGCCCCACATCAAAATGTTAAAGTAAGCTGGCGAGGGTTCGGCGCCTGAAAAAAAAAAAACCGAGTTAGAAGTTCACATTTGTATATTCCACGCATATTCCACGCATATTCCACGCGTTTTCCAAGCGTATTTCAAGCCTATTCCGTGGATATTCCTTAGGGTATTATCAATATCCTTACCGGTTCTCAGCGAGTTGGGCGTATATTCGTTGTCGGTCAAATAGTTCAGAATGGACGACTTGCCGCCGGACCAGGGACCCATGAACAGTATCAATGGCTTGGAGAAGATCTCCGGATCACTAAAGTGGCGATTGCTCAAGTCTCGATACTTGTACAAGGTCTCCAAAGGCTTGACGGCGTTCTCATAGATCTTCTTGATGTCGCGTAGGATAATCTCGGCCACATTGTCGGTGGCCTTCTCGCGCGCATTGAACTCCTCGTCCAGCAGCAGGAGCTCTGTGATATGCTGCCGGCTGCGACGGTTCTGCGGGATTACGCCTTCCTACAGAGAAGAAAGCGATTGATTAGAGGTTACCAATTCACTAAGGTCTGCTTTCTAAACCTACCCAGAGCAATTCGTCTTCTGGCTTGGTGTCCTCATCGTCTTCATCTGCGGCGATTGCTGTTTCCTCTGCGTGGGGCTCATCCGCTTCTTTGGCTTCCTCGGATGCCTCAGCTTCTGGCTCTTCCTCTACAGGAACCTGTTCCGCGGACACAGCTGGCTCTGGCTCTTCTTCCTTCTCCTCCGCTGGCTCCTCTACCGCCTCGGGCTCAGCCTCTGCAGCTAGCTGCTCCTCCTCCTTGGAAGCCTCCTCTTCAGCTGGGAACTCCTCAGCAGGACTTGGCGTTGACTCAATCTCTACAACTGGGGCAGCATCGACCTCACGCTTGCTGCGTTTTTTCACCTCCTCCTCCTCCTCCTCGTCATCATCGTCATCGTCGGCGAGCTCGTGGCTGTCGTCATGAACATTGGGAATGCCATCGCCATCCATGTCATTGTCGTGCACATTCAAGATGCCATCGCCGTCCATGTCCTCGTCCTTCTCGTTCACCTTGTTGTCGCCATCAATGTCATCGTCCAAGCTATTTGGCACACCATCCCCATCGATATCCATGCTCTGGGGCTCCTCGGAATTGGACAGGCCATCGCCATCGACGTCGTGATCCTCGTCGTTGTGAACGCCATCGCCATCTATGTCGCTGTCCTCTGTTCCGGGAGAAATTATATGTTACGTTCGATTATGAGAGATAGGTTTTGATCTGCTTTTACCATGATTGAGGGTGCCATCTCCATCGATATCTTCGTCCTCTGTAAAGGTTGTTTAATTAACTGGGAAACTATGCATAGAGGATCACCAAGGACTGCTTACCATGGTTCACTTTGCCATCGCCATCCAGATCTTCATCCTTGTCATTTGGCAAGCCATCGCCATCCAAGTCGTTGTCCTCTACAATGAGCAACATATTCCGTGTGAGTAAAATGAGCAAGGAATAGAGTTAGGAATAAAGTTATTATTAAATGAAAGAAATAATTAATTAGGTATATAGAGTGGGGTAGAGCTGAATGAGTCGAAGAACTGGGGTGCTTAGTCCATACCGTGATTCAAAGTACCATCCCCATCGATATCCTCGTCCTCTGCATAAATAGAACCTTGCATAATTTCGCCTGCTACGATAGATGGTACTCACCGTGATTCACCAATCCATCGCCATCCAAATCCTCGTCTTTCTCGTTTGGCAAACCGTCGCCATCCAAGTCGTTGTCCTCTGCACGCATAGAGAATGCCATGAAAGGGATAACAGATGTCAGATGCGACTAAGGTCTTACCCTGATTCGGTATTCCATCGCCGTCGATGTCGTTGTCCTTCTCATTGGGAATGCCATCGCCGTCGATGTCAGAGTCCTCGTCATTGGGTATGCCATCGCCATCGATGTCGTCGTCCTCATCATTGGGTATGCCATCGCCATCGATATCATCGTCCTCGTCGTTGGGTATGCCGTCTCCGTCGATGTCATCGTCCTTCTCATTGGGTATGCCATCGCCATCGATGTCATCGTCCTCATCATTGGGTATGCCATCGCCATCGATGTCGTCATCATCCTCATTGAGTATGCCATCGCCATCGATGTCGTCATCCTTGTCATTCGGTATGCCATCGCCGTCGATATCATCGTCCTCATCATTCGGTATGCCATCGCCGTCTATGTCGTCGTCCTGATCATCTGGTATGCCATCGCCGTCAAGGTCGTTGACGCCTTTCGCGTCCTCTGTGGAATCCACATCAGTAATTTCAACAGTTTCTTTCTCATCAAGCCCACCATCATCATCGTCATCATCATCCCTACTAGGCTGATCGGATTGCAGTTCTCCGGAACCATCTCTGACACCATCTGGACGGAAAATCAAATGCTATAGAGGCTAATCGTTTCACGGTTCGGTTCAAGTTCTTTGCTTTATAATTAAGATATTAAAAATCCAAACATTTACTGACCGCAGAAATCTTAAAACTCCCCTTAGTATTTGAAGATTGGCTCGAATGAGTGAAATCGAATTAGAAACCTCCGGATAGCACACTTTAGTCTAAGGGTCTTAAAGTTTGAAGCCAAAAAAGCAGCCCTTGGGTATAAAACACGAGTCTAGTGTATTTTTAGAAAGGCCTTTGAAAATAATTTAGAAGCCGAGTGGAAGCTAAAAACAAAAGTTGCATACAACGGGCATTCCGCCGATTTTCCGCACTTGCGAGTGGAATCTCCCAAAACGACGCCTTGTCGAAATAATCGCTAGCATAGTTTTTGCTAGACGTAACTTACCTGTTTTCAGTTCATGTATAGCCTTTTCAATGTAGGGTCGACATTCTGATTCGCTCGGTCCGACATCCGCATTGGCAAACCCAACTGCAAAGATATTTAAAACAAGTAGGAATTAAATATGAAGATTGGGTAGATGTTTTAACCAAGTTCTATGACAAGAATATATTTTAATAAATTTGATTATATTTTAAGATCATGTTCGAGTTGAAGGGATGAAAGGAAGGAAGAGTTTAAGTTAAATAGAATTTATTTGAGATCAAATTTAGTGAAGGAAGGAATAGGATGTTTCAGGAAGTTCAAAGAAAATTCATATAAAATTATATGATTATTGCATTTTTTCGATCTAGAAAATCTTTTCCAAAGTATGCCCTATCTTTTAGTCTCTGATAGAAGTCAAAGATATTTCATCTGGATTTTTGGTTCTCCTCTGAATCGGACTTAATTTATAACGCTCTTGGCGTTTTCTGGCCGCCTCCGTGTTTGATGTGAGCGCCGAGGTTATTTTATCTTTTCAAACTTGACATTATTTATGGTACACACACACACATACACACGCATACCATGAAATATGTTCGGCAAATTATGAATTTTATTTTTAAAAGCTAAAAACTCAAACACATTTCGCCAGTCGCTGGTCGCTTTTCAGCAAATCTGAATGGGTATATAATTTTTGTTGGCCACTCGCCCACCATATCTTGACTTTTCCATGCTCAGTTCGGGCAGTTTGTGACGTGGGTATATACTATATATAGGCAGGTCTATAGGGTCCGATTTGGCCGTGAGCGAGTGCTTCGACTATTTCTCTATCAATCTGAGGTCGAGCTGTCTTGAGTGACAGCTGCTTTTAAGGTCGTTGCTAATTACTTGCTCAGTTGCCTCATGGAAAGCTTGGTACACGGAAGAGCTGCAAAGTGCTGCCCATTTTTTTATTGAAGTACATTTCTTGCAGCTGTCAGCGGATAATTTGCCCTGATTTATTTGCGCATAGTGTGAGGCGGTATTTTTTCTATTCAAATACAGCAAACTATTTGAGATATTTGCCATGCCATTTGCCATTTCTCGCATAAACAGAATTATTTATACAAATCCGTCCGATGGCTGCTTGCATATTGTGTTTATGTTGCCTGCAACCTATCCCCACGTACTTACATATATCTTATATAGATCATGTCTATTTTTTTTTTTTTTTTTTTGGTTTTTTTCTTCTCTTTTTGCAAAGCAAACAAAAGTACGGGCTGGCTCGGCTCGGCCATATAGACACAGATACTTGCTCAATACATAAAATAACTTAAAAATTCTAAATTTAAAAATATTACAAACGATGACAACGAAGAACGACCGAACGTTTGCCGCGTTTCGGCTAACAAAAATTAAAAAAAAAAAATAAAATAAAATAACACAAGTGAAAGAAGAAGAAAGTGACCAACAATATGAAATGTCCCTGTATTAGTGCGATCTGCAGCTGTGTGTGTATTATCCAACGAGTCTAGGCCAAAATTTGAATGCTCGAAAGTGTCGTCTCTGACGTTTGCACAAACACACACACTCACACACACACACACACACACGCAGCTCAGGCAAATATTTTTAAATATGCATATACGTGTTTAATTTTCATCTCGCTCTCTCATTTTCTCGCTCTCTCTTTTTTTGAAAATTGCATAATGGCCGCTGCGAAATAGTGGGACTTGTGTGCGCAAGAAAATACCGTTATTTTTAGCTTATATAACTCCTGGAAACTCACCATTGTTGGAAACGGCGATTAACGTAAGTCCCAGCAGGAACCAAATTGTTAGCCGCCCCATAATCATAAAATCAACAAATTATCCTTGAGTTTTCCCAGTTTGGTTAGCACTGTAGCCACGTCATAAATTCCTCCTTTATATGCTTTCGTATTTTTCCCGTTATTATTATTGATAATTCGGAAAAATGTATTCAAAAAAATCACTTGCTCGTATATATCGCATATATATATCCACAATATATGCGCTCGTTTAAATGCACTGCGTGAAAGGGTTAAAATTGTGTATGCTATAGATTATTTCTCTGCGTGTATAGATCATATATATATATGTATATTAGCTTTATACTATTGACTATTTGTGTGTGTTTTTAAAAATATAACTAATTGGGCTCGTACAAATGTTGTCACACTTAAGAATTTTTTGCACTGGTTCGTTTGATTTTTGCACTTTTTTTTCGCATTTAGCTAGCCGCTCGCAAACTTTAACGGACAATCGTCGGCTGGGTAATCCTTAGTGTCCCTTTCGACGATTGTCAGCTAAATAATTTGCTTATTTGTGGCCCGTCGTCTGTGCACGGCGTGTGCGATTCGTTTTTTGAGACAACGTTCAGCACAAGTTGTAGCTATATCTATTTTCTGGCACTTCTAAAAAGCAGGCAAGTTTAGAAATATATATATATATATATATATTATTGTTTTTTGGTATATTGCGTACACGAGTATACGAGACGATCTCTCCCGGTCCAAAACCAATTCGTAACTCAACATGCATATACCATGAATTTACCTTGTGACCGCGAAAATTATTTCATTTTGATATTTTTGTAGCGCAAATTTTGTCAAAAGCACAATCTATCTCTTTAGCAGGCGCTCAGAGAGTGAGAGCGAGAGAGAGAGAGAGAGAGAGAGAGAGAGAGGGAGAGAGAGAGCGAGCGAGCGTTGGGGGAAATTTGTGCTAATAGTCGGAGTAAGCTGTAACAACAACTAGGGCAATTTTTAAGTGAAGGGAAATTGTTAGTGGGGAAATTTAAGCAAAGGACCTGAACCGGTTCCAGTTATTATGTGACTTTTGAGCTAGTTCCTTAAAGCATTTTACGCTCTTTAAATGTATATTTATAGAATCTTAAGTTTTCTCTGTGCTAAGGACACACTCCAAAGTATCTAAATTTTGGAACAGTGTTTAATTATAGACAAAGATTTGCTCATTCGCAAGAACACTCAAAGCAGCTAGCTCAAGAGCATAAATAAATAGAAAAATCACTATATTGAAGAAATATATGTGCGCAAAGGGAAAGCTGGCACATTCACCCATAAAAATCTCGAGTACTATTCGTTATTCAGAGCTCGGCGATTATTTTTCTTGTCACAAATGATTAAATATAATGCAATCTGTCTCACCCTCTCTCCCGCCCTCCTTCTCTCTCTATCTCTCCCTCTTTCAGCGTGGGAATTCAGTTGTAAAATATGAAAATATAATTTCTCATAGCATTTATCACCGTTCATTAATATGCTTGATTGCACGAACAGCTGTTGGATGTGGGCTTTTATTCCAAGGTTCGATACAGACAAGTGCAGAGGCTTTTAAATCTCTTAAGTTTATAATTTTATTGAACGGTTAATTATATAATCCGATGCATGTGCTTATGGAATAAACTTGTATTACCTTTAGGTATTACTAAAAACAACAAATCTTTTTTATTTGTTTTTTTTTTTCAATTTCCAAATCTGTTTCATTTTAAGATTCTATGCATATAAAAATATGTTTCTTTCCGGCTCATTTAATGCATATTTTATGTTGTCTTTCAATTTTTATTGCTTTTGTCTCGGCAAAAGTAATATAATTTTCTTTCTTTATATGTGAGTTTTATATTATTATTATATAATCAATACTTGAAGCCTAAGACCTACGCCTCGCTCTCGCTGAGCGCTTAAAATAGTCACCTTAACTAACATATCAAATGACTTTTATATAGTTTATAAAAATTCTGCAAATTCCGATCTAGCGGGTCTCGTTTCCATTATCCTTGTTCTTCATGCGGGTGCAATAGTACCGATCGCTGTTCTCAATCCAATCGCAAACGTTGAGCACAGTGTGAAAAGCCGTGCCCTCTTTGCACTCGAACTCCACGGGCTTGCCATGCACGCAGCGGAAGTACTGGAAGGAAAAGTAAATAGTTGGGAAATTTTATGCAAAATTTAGTCTGATCTCTAGCAAAGCTACAAGCCGATTTCGATATACTAATTTCAATATACTAACGATAACATATATCTGAGTGTTAAAGAGCTAGCTCTTTACAAATTTTCTGTATAGACTCACGTATAGCACACAAAGGACCAGAATACATTTACTTATTTCCCTTCTTTTCCAATATTGAAAAATAGGGAAATTTTATTTCCTTCTTTCAGTGGTGAAAAAAGGGAAATTTTCTTCGTTTCTTTCCAATGTTAAAAAAAGAAGGGAAATTATCTTCCCTTTCGATGTTGGGGAATGGAAAATTTTCTTCCCTTCTTCCAATGTTGAAAAAGAGGGAAAATTCTTGGAAAATTCTTATTTGCACAGATTTGATTGTCATATTGATGTCCCGCAAATTTCATAACGATCGGACTACATTTACCGAAGAGAATTCGGGGAGAATTTTTAATGATGTGGAAGTAAGCAATTCTTCCCTTCTTCAAGCACAGCATCTGCAGAATGTGCTCAGCTTGAGTGTGTGTATGTGTGTGTTTTATCCTGTGCATGTATGCGTAGAAGTAAGCTAGTTTGTTCGTAAGTCAGGGTATTACCTAGTCGGGATTGCCCGACTTTCTTTTTCTTTTAGTCTTGCAGCCCTCGTTTCGTGGTTTACCTTTCTGCAGTTGGGATGCGGCACAAAGTCGCGATTGGTGCAATCAATTTCGCTGGGATCAAACTCAACTCCAGTCGTGGCATTCTCCTCGGGATCTACAATCGGTTCGGGCTCCTCGGTTAACTCGGGCGCTTCAGTCGTGGTTGTGGTCGTTGTTGTGGTTGTCTTGGGCTTCTTGGGTTTCTATAAAATGAAAATATTAAACATGATTTGAAGCGAGATATACTCCAGAGGGTGGCACCTTTGTGGTGGGTTTCTCGGTGGTGCTGGGCACAGCTGGCGCTGGAGCTGACGTGGGGCGAACTGCCGTTGAGGTGGGTTTTGGCTTCGGTTTACGGGTCGTCGTCGTGGGCCGCACATTGCTGACCGCCTCGTCGGGATTGGGTGAAGTCGAGGGTGGCTTGGCCCACTCAGGCTGCAGGGCGGGAGAGAATCCACATTAGACATACACCCGATCCCTTGGCTGGGCCTGGCCCACACTTACCCGCGGCGTTGTCTCGCGCGTTGGCTCCGGCACGCGATAGTCCCGCATATTGTTGTAGAGTATCTGCATGAGGGCGTTCTTGGGGCCGCACAGTCCATGGAAGTCGTCCATGTCAATGGCCCAGGTCATGGCGCCGGCATAGCCCTTGGCCCTGATGAAGTCCATTTTGATCTGGACCGAGGCCTCGTTCTCATAGCCCACCCACTGTGTATCCTTGTAGGTATAGGGCACCATGCCCGCCTCATCCCACTCGACGGTCCAGCCCTTCGACTTGTCCATCACCTCGGTGCATATCTCATAGTAGGCCAGAAAGCCGCTCGCATTCGTATACGGCCCGGGCGCACCGCCGCCCGCCTCCTTGTTGATGTACGTGCCCATGTTGTAGTTCTTGTTCGAGTTGCTCAGCGTGAAGGTGCGTCCGTAAAACGGGATGCCCACCACCAGCTTATTAGCCGGACAGCCCATCTCCTCCCACAAGGCCAGGCCGTCGTGCTGGAATAATTGGTTGGATTAAGCTGGAGCAGGAGCTGAGAATAGCTCGGACTACTCACCACATTGAGTCGCTCGTAGGCGTATTGATCGTGCTTGCGCTTGTAGAGCGGACTGTGGACGTCCGCGAAGCCTGCCCAGTTGCCGCGCAGGTCATAGGTCATGGCGTGAATGGCATCCAGCAGTCTAAAAGCAAGAGGCAGTTAGTTGGCAGTCCGTCTAACTGCGAGGCAGCCACTCACTCGCACAGCTCGGGCACGTGGTAACCCTCCTGAAGTCGGAACTTGGCCACGGGCACGGCCATCGTGATCTCCCAGCCTCGGCCCTCGCGATCGAAGGCGCGTCGCAGCTCCTGCACGAAATACAGGAACTTGTCCTTGTCGCCAAAGCTGCCGCCGCGATCTGTGGCGCCCGGGTACTCCCAGTCCAGATCGAAGCCATCGAAGTCATACTCCCGCATGAACTGCACCACGCTGCGGATGAAGCTCTGCCGATGCTCGCGCACCGCCGACATTTTCGAGTACTTCGCGCCTCCCTCCGCCCAGCCGCCGACGGCTATCTGCAGCTTCAGCTTGGGATGGGTTTGTCGCAGCTGCGTAAACTTGCGAAAGCCCTCCTGATCGACGTCCAGCTCCGGGTCGATGACCAGCACATCCCAGCTCTTCTCGTCCACGCCTATAAAGGAGTACACCAGATGCGTGCACAGATCTCCGGGCACATCCTCCAGTCCATAGCGTCCAATGCCCGGCCTGTAGACGGCCCAGTTGCTGAAGTAGCACACAATGCGCGCCGGCTGATCCTTGCCCAGGATCAGGCTGGGCACGCCCAGCAGCAGGAGTAGCAGCAGCATGGGATGATGATACGCTGGGTAAGGATAAAACAAAAGAAATGGATTTAAAGAGGGGTTATTTTTAGCAGAACCTGGAAGAAATTCTTTCATATTATTTGGCTATAAAATAATTCCAATTTTTTTCTGTTTACTTTGATCAACTATTCAGATAAAAAATAAATAAGTATTTCAATTATAAAATGGATATAAAGAAATTGGAAGAATGCGTCGACCTTAAATTTAAAAATCAACATATATTATAAAATATAAAAATATATATAATATATAATACTCCCTATATAATAACATAATCGGAATATTTTTAAAAGCTTCTTTTTGTTTTCGATATTTCTTCCATTTCTATAATATCTTCTTTCACACATTTAAGCATAATTCGAAGATTATCAGAGTTATATACACAAAACCTGGTATGTAGGATCTTTTATAGTATACAAAGATACGAAACTATTTTTATTTTGTCTAGCTTTCCACATTTCCCTGAAAATTGGAATAACTTTATTCTTAAAGATAGAGCCTTGTACTTTTTATTAGTAAGTAATATATATGCTTTTGTATATCATATATAAGGCCCAAAAAATTGATAGAAATCGGATAGTGAAGGCAATTTGGAATCTAATTTAAGCAGACGCAGAGGGATTGATAGATCAATAGAGAAATATATATGGATGTGCCTGGATCGACTAAGCTCAGCATAAATTCCATATGGAGACAAAGGAAAACTGTTCAATAGTGTAAATTCTTATAGTTGTCCTGTTAAGTAAGTTATTTATATTTTCTGCATTTCATTAGTTGAAAACCTTATCAGTTTCTGACTAGATCGACTTAGCTCATCCTCCATTCCATTCGGAATACATAACTTTTTTCCAGTGTATATAGCATACAAAGGAAAACTGATCAAACAAGTGGATCCAGTAAGGTATCTATATTTTCTGCATTTCATTAGCTAAAGCCTTATCATTTTTTTTTTTTTTTTTGCATAAGTCTGGAACTTTCAAAGTCTTTAGGCCGATTCTCCGAAAGGTAGTTGCGATGTTGCGACTTGTTTTTCAAGATCCACGCGAGTTGCATGCATAAATCAAAATCAAAATAAAAACTTTGGATGCACTCGTGCCTGGTTATTATTTATATATATTTATATAAATATTTTCTTTTGGGCGTGCTAAGGTCGTGTGTCCATAATGTCTTGGTTTATGCGTTGAATCAAACGAGTTCATTCACCGATATATTTTTTTTTATATTTTTTTTTATATTCGCGGCACTCACTTAATATGCAGGGCGAGGCTTACCCATTTCTTAATGCTATAAACTATACGAATTGGAACCGGGATCTCCGACAACTTGATGCGACGCCCGTTTGGCGTCAAATGACAGTCGAAGTCGGGGCGAGCTCCGCTTTTATAGTTGGGAGCTGGCGGTCCGGTTCTTCGGGTGCGCCTCTTTGTTCCTGGCCAAAGTGCGTGCGATGCAAAGATTCTTTCTTCGTGCTGTTCTTCTTGTTTTGGTTTTGACTCGGACTTGGGCTTGTGTTACGACTGTGCTCAATTCCAGATCTCGCGACTTTCTTTCTGCTTGTTTTTGTTTTCATTTTGTTTTATTCTGTTTTGTTTTGTCTGTGGCTCGAGTCGGGTTTGTTTATGTTCTAGAATAAGCAAATGGATAAACCCGTTTCGGATAACACTTCCTCTGCCCATCCTGGCATTAAGGTGCGTAAGGCAAAAGACAGGCTAAAAGAAAGGAGTTCGTTGGCCTCGCCTAATGCACAGATAAGCCGGCTGGCATGGGGCTTACTTCTATGCACTTTATACACTCAGAGAAAATGAGAAGAAGAATCTTGTGCTTTAATCAAATGTTTAGACTTGTTTTTAACATATTAAAATAAAGCTGGACAACAGCAGACTTTGTGCTCTACTCTAGGATTGTTGACTTCTCGCAGCTTTAACTGGTTGCGAATTGTAAGCTGCAAGCAACGAAAAAGCTGGCATTTAATTTGTATTTAATACTATAACTAAGCCTTCCGGTTTGAGATCTACAGCGTAACTGTTTTACCCTTCGCGCAGCTTTAACTGTTTGAGAATTGCAAGCTACTAAAAATTTATTTATTTTTGCTTATATATATATTTATTATTCTAATGGTTCATTCTTATTATTATTACGATCTTGTTTGTGTTATTCTTAATTTAAGAATATGTTAGAGCTAAATTTACTTTTATAACTGAAGAATTTCCCTCGTTGAATTAAAAATCTTTATGGGTCTTAGGCTAAATAGAATAATAAAATAGGATCAAAAACAATTGTATTCTATTCGAGTCATACAACACTTCTTTTTTCTGCAAGTGCATACATTAACTTTAGGCTTAAGACTAAGCAGTTATCTAAAGACCACTGCGTATATCAATGGCCAAAGTGGGATCCTCAGTGGTGGTGCTTGGAGTGGAGCTGGGCGTGGTGCTGGGCGTGGTGCTGGGAGGCACTTCGCTGCTCGGGTTGGGCTCAGTGGAAGCCTGCTGGTTATCTGCAAGACACACAATCAAGTTAATATATGGCAAATTTTATGCCCAAACACTTGAAGCTACCTTCGAAAGGCGCCAATGGTGTCTTATAGAGCGGTCCGGGCTCTTGATAGCCATTGCCGGGTGGAGCAAAGCCAAAGCCAAATGGCATCGGATAGGGCGCAAAACCAAAGCCAAAGTTGCGCCCATGACCTGGCTCATGCCCATACCCGTGTCCATACCCGTGTCCATACCCGTGCCCATATCCATGCCCGTGCCAATGGTCTGGTGCAGCGCGATGCCTGCTGCGCCGGCCGCAGAGCAAAGGCTCAGCCAAATAATCTTGGTCATGACGAGGCTGGCGCCTCAGGGCGGGCCATAAATCCTGGCTGATATAAACGCTGCTGGTGGAGAAAGAGCACACATTCAGCCTGGCACAGCCATATGGCTTAGAGCAATACCCATACATACGCATTCTCCACGGCGGGCAGCAGGCTCCACAGGGCCAAGAGCGTCAACTGTGCGGAAGATAAATGTGTGCATGGAGATTGGGATTTGGGAAATGTTTGCCCCGACTATATGGAAAGCTACTAATGCAGAACTTACGAATGTGACTGACATTATCTGAACTGAACTTCACACCTGAACGCACATCTGTGAACTGAAGTTGAGGCTAGGCAACGCGACTCACTTAATTCCGCACAATTATTGCCCGTGGCTTGGGTTTTTTATATTTTATATTTTATATACTTACATATATATCAATCCGAGTCGCGTACACTCAGAGTTTTGAGTGGTTTTTATGCGCATCATCAACGACAACGACAACAACAACTGATTTAAGCCAATCAGGTTTAATGTTGTTTCAGGTTTTTTTCGACTTATACGTACTGTAATTCTGTTAGTATATACCCTATAATAAGCTTTAAACGTATGATAATTAACTGAGAGCCCAGCGCGCTGACGTCGCATTTTGGTCCACTCTAATCGCTGGCTTTTAATGCGAACAATTTGTCTCTCATATTTGTAGCCTATAAATATTGATGTCTGCTCGATTTCCAAATTTATAATTTGTCGATTTCTGCTCCCTATATATATACCCTATAATAAGCTTTAGATGTATGACGTCGCTTCCACTGGTCCACTCTAATTGCTGCCTCTATAATTATTGATCTCTTCTCAATTTCCTAATTTATAAAGGCCATCTTATAATATGTTCGCATTTGTCGATTTCTGCTCCATGGTCACGATTATGCTAATCGGATGTAAGAATTTGATAAGACATTTCTTTGTGTTGCTTTTTTTAGAAAGTTATCGCATGCTCTACATTTCACATACAGCTCAACCTGCCACCCCTCTCCCCCCCGCCGCCTGACACGCCACCTGTCGGCCAATTTGCCCATACGCCCACACACACTCAACTCTTGTGTGTGTGTGTGCGAGCGCGTGTGGCGACTGTTTGTCATGCCGAAAGTGCTGTGCGCTATGTGCTTCACAGTCTGCTCTGGTTTTATACCCTGTAAACATTAGCTGATAATAAAGGGCATGCCTGTTTCGAGAGAGTGTATGTAACACTCAGAGGTTATAAGCTAGAAAAACGTTGCATACAGAGATTATATACTATACAAGAAATCTAACTTCTTCTATTGGAATTATTCGAGAGCATTTCATTACCTGCAGATATTTATCCTTACCAGCAAGTACTTAAAAAAGCCGAAGCTGATCCCGGCAAGTGCTAGGAAGCCACGCCTAGATTTGATATACTTCTGACTATATTTTATTATAATTAATTTTTGCGCGACTTCCGATATATATACAGGGTATCTTATAGTCGACCACTGCTGTCACATGTGCTGCAAATAAGTTCCCTTTCTGTGTATTTTCTTTTAAAAAACACAATGAAGTTTTGGCTCGATCTGCATGCAGGGTGTCCCATAGCTGGTCATCCTTCTTTAATTGCTATTTTAGATATATACAGGGTATTTTCTATTCATTTGCAAATTTGGTTGCAGAAAAGCCCTCTTCATATATATTTACTTTATGCATACAATCAGGGCTACGTTCGAACTGCTTGCAGGGTATCCCATAGTTGGTCAACATTCTTTTGCTGCTCTATGGGCTTGTCACTGTGTTGTTGTTGTTGCTGTTGCTGTCTTGTTGTTGGCCAGCCTTTTGTGCGTTTCATTGTGATTCATGCCGGGGGCCACGTTTGTCATCGCGCGTCTCTATTTTTAATAGAGTCCACATTGATCTTGAATTTCGCTGGCAATTGTCGCCAGATTCGCACAAAGTAACCGCTGCCCAGTTACTCTTCCTGTTCCGCAACCTTGGGCTGTAATCGTGAGCGATAAGTGAATAAATTAAATTAAATGCTCTGGACGGGGATGATTTGAATTTTCAACTATATTCTTTATTGATAACATTTATCTCGTCTTTTCGCAGTTGTTTTCATTTTGCAAACAATATTTTATATTATATATATGTATATGTATATGTATATGTATTTATGCAATAAATATGTTTTGCAATAATTGTAATTGTTTTTTGTGAAATACGCGTGGAATTCCTAGTCGAATATAAGCCAGAACTAGCATATCGAATTGACTTGGCTTGAACTAAGGTCAAAGGGGTTTTTTTAAGCAACATTTACACATATGTTTACATATAGCACCGCGAAATGTACAAATTATTTGTTGTTTGTTTTTGTTTTAATAATATTCATATAATCATAATTAGCAAATATAGATTGCAAGAATATCAAGAGCTTGGCGTAAATGAAAAAAACTTAAAAAATACTTAGCATTAAATAAAACTTAAAACTTGTAACAATTTAAATTTAAAAACTTGCGATCAACTTAAAATAGATTTTTGTACAATTTGCTTGTTATTTTTGCTTCTTCTTTATTAATTTTATATATTATATATGTGTATATATTTAACAGTTTATCGTTGTGTGTTTACTATATGCATATATTTTAATATATTTATTTTATATATATTGTGATATCTTTTTTATTTTTAATAACTTTAAAAGTTATACAGACATTAACATTGAATTGCATTGGATTTAATATATCATTGACTTTCTTGTGTTTAAAATACATTCAATATTTATTTTTGTTTACTTTTTTTAATCGCTTAACTTTTTCTTTGCTTGCTCCGTTTAATTGCCTGGCTAATTGACCTACATTTAAATAATTGTTTATATATTTATTTTATTTTATTTATTTACTTTTATCATTGCTGCAATGCCAGTGCATGCGTAAATATAACCTGAATCCATTGACGCAAATTTAGAAAGGGTATGATGTACGAGTGAATATGTTTGTAACAGGCAGAGACAGGCTACTCTGAGCTCTTAGGGTATATGTGCTGTGAAACAGAGACGTTTAACTCAGAGACTATAAAACCTAAAGACATAAATAAAACATTTTCGTGGCAATAATTGGCCTTAGTTGAACTCGTTTGGTTGTAAATTTGTTAGAGATCGGACAATAAATACCGAAGCTATTCAAGCAGGGACCAAGAAAAGAATTGTGTCTATGTTTCTGTTCAATATGTATAGAAGTAAGCTTAAAATGCTTGGATTCAGGGTATCTACGAGTCGGGCATATCCGACCAGAATTAGTTACTTGTTTTCTTGTTTATTTAATATGTGCATGTTTTGTATTTGCTTTAATATGTTGTAGGTTTTTGTCGCTCTGCTCCTCTTTTAAATAATTTGCATATTATATATTTTCGATTAGGTTTTAAATAGTTTTGTGATAGGTACATTTGAAATATTGCCAAGTTGTGAAATGCTTTGAAAGTGCGCTTTGTTTGAGCTGACCCCACCCCTATATATAGAGAGGGGGAGGGGACTGACTGATTTTTGTTGCTATTTAGTTCCTAACTACCATTTGGTGCCCTTTGTTGTTGTTGTTGTTGTTGCTTTTGATTTTGTTGTTGTTGTTGTTTGTGATATTAAAAAGTTTGTTTGTATCAAATGCAATAATTGGCGACATATTGTTGTTGTTGTTTGGGGAGTTTGGAAAAAATGCGCTACTCTGCACAAAAGTCTGTTGCAAAAGTCTTTAAAGTTATTGTTTTTAGTTACCAACATACCTCCATTGATATATATATATATATATATATATATATATAAATTGTGTTTTTTTTTTAATATTATTTTGAGAGCCCGCACAGGAACGTGTACACGTTTTATTTATACAACAAGTATTGATGCGCCGTAGTTACCAGTTCGTATGTATCTATATAGACCGATATCGGGTTGGACTATGCTAAGCGACGACAGTCAATAAACTGTACTTGATATTCATATAATTTGTTTAGAGAACGTTGCTTTAACATTTGATGTAATTGCCATCGTTTATAATGATTATTTAACACGCTTAACTGATATGTTGCATCTTTATGTAGTATATAATATGTAGTTTATATATATATATATATATATCTGTATATATCTATATATATATATATGCGTGCGAGTATGTAAGCATCAACAGTCGTTATACCCTTGTAGAGAATGCCATATATAATATATATATATTCATGATCAGTTAGAGCCAGGATATAGCCATGTTGGAGTGTAAACTAGTCTCTTTTGTCGAAAAACAGGCTTCATGAAATTTTGCATACGCCGGATCGAAATACTATATATATACCAGCTAGTAGGCATAATAGGTCGCAAATTAAGTTCTTGATATTTCAAAATTACTTTTCCTATTAGTTGAAATTGAATTGCAAAGATCGGGCTACTATAGCTCTATGGGAAGAATCAATCGAAAAATGAGTTTTTGTGCGTAAACAATGTTTTTTTTTTGTTTTTCATCATAACTCGATCTCGAGCTTCAAATCGGACTACTATAACTTACAGCTTGCCCCATTTGGATTCGAATATTATTCGGATTTTTCACACTTTGCCTACAAGGGTATTTGATGTTCGGCGTGCCGAAGTTAGCCGTTCCTTCTTGTTCTTGTAGCATTTTGCTTGCCTAAAAATTCGTTAATTTATGTATTCTTCTTCTTCTTTTTTTTTTTGATATTTTTAAAATTTGTTGTTACACTTCAGTCAATTAACAATTGATACGATTTCGATTTTAAATGTTCATTAAAATTTTGGTTGTTGTTTTTTTTTTTTTGTTAGCAAAGTTTCTAGTTTGATTTTGTATTTGTTTTGAAGTTTCGAAGATAAATGCAGCTGTTATTGTGCTTAATTATTATATTTATACTCTATCGAAGTCGCGCCCTTCCGGTCGGGTAGTTGGGTTAGTTGTTGGCCTTTAGCGCTTAGCTGTAAAAATTGTCGCGCTGTTGAAATAACGGCAGTGGTTCGCTTGGCGACTCCGAGCGTCGCTCCTCGTCGCTGTCCTGGCCCGATTGACCCTTGGCCGTCTTTGACATGGCTTTCTCTGTGGGTTAACAGAAGGAAATCAAATATTTATATAGGGAAAATGCAATTCGTGCTAATGTTGAGCCCAAAAACCATCCCAAGCGTGCTGTAAAAGTTGGACTGAAAATTGTCTGTAGACTGAAAACCTTTTGTACAGGAGTTCATATACATTTATATGTAGATATATATAGATATATATGTTTGTATAGTTTGGTTTTTGTATGTTGTTGTTGTTGTTGTTGTTGCTGTTGTTGTGCCTGTTGAGCTTATACTTACTCGTCTCTTGAGCTTTGTTGGACTGTTTTAGCTGGTATTTCATATTCATTCATATTTGTTTAACTTTTTACACAGTTTTTGCAAGTGCATTAATTTTGATAAAGAGCCTGAACCGAAGACAACTATGTTTAGCCGAATTTGCTTTACTCTATTGATTTAGTTTAACTGCCTCTTATTTACTGATATTTATTGCCTCTATAAATGGCAAAGAGTTTGTCCTGAATGACTTCTTAACTAAAAAATAAAGCCAGGAAAATTCCATTTATACAAAAGCTAAGCACGAAGGTAAGAACTTAAGATAATTAAACTTGGCATATGCTTCCTTTGTTGCTCTCATCGAATTAAAGTCGTATTAAACTCTGATAACTTTATACAAAAGGAAAAATTTAATCAACACCTGATCAATATATCTTTAAGGAAGAATCTAATTAGCACCTGATAACAATATCCAAATTAAAGCATCTTATCAACAGCTTCTAACTAAGTATATCCAAAAGGAACAATCGATCGGAAACTGGGGTATTATTTGGCATTTTATATAGATAAAATAGTTATGTATTTATTCTAAGGGTATTTCCTCTTCGGCTTCTTTCAACTTCTATGCAAAAGAAAATCTTTGAAATCGTTTCAATTCTTTTTTAACATCATTTTCAATTTTTTTTGCTGTAAGTTTTTCCAATTGATTTGCACTGTGCTGTGTTTTTTTTTGATAGATTTATTAAAGTGCCATATTTTTTGTGTATAGCTAAAAACTCTATTTAAATGCTGTTGTGTGTGTGTTTGTGTGTGTGTGTGTGTGTGTGTGTGTGTGTGCGTAGAGGTGTATTTACTTTGTTATATTATTTTATGAGAATATTACAAGCGCGTGCGTGCTGATTAGTTAGGCCAATTCCAAGCTAATAAACTAAGCAAATTTTAATTTTAAATTCAGAGAAAGTCGGCAAACTATGCAGATATATATATATATATAAATATGCATATATCATATATGTTTGGGTATTATAAAAACAAAATGTGTACAAACCTTGACTTACGCATTTGTTTAATTGTTGTTTAACTTTTGTGCTTATTGTTGTTGTTGTTGGTACTTGTTGTTGTTGTTGTTGCAATTGCTTTGTTGTTGTTGTCGTTTAGTATTTTGTGATTGCTTGAACTGATTTGATTTTGTTTTTGTTTTTTGTTATTTTGTGAGCTTAGCATGCGGTAATCTCAACGTCGCGTGAGTTCTTGCTGTGCTGTAATTTTTTTTTTTCATTTTGTTGTGTTTGTTGTATGTATGTAGCTGTTGTTGTTGTTATTGTTATTGTTGTTGTTGTTGTTGTTATTGTTTATGCATATGTAACTTGGTTTACATAAGACACACATTTGAACGTGGCCAACAGTTCGTGGCCCATTTTACAACTCAAACAAATAACAAAAAAGTGTGAACATTTAAATAAAAACAAAAACAAAAACATAAACAACACGACATTCTAAAATTGAGTTAGTTGTGACTAGTGGGATTGCCTAAAAGTATGCAAGAAAAAATAAAAATAATAAAAATAAATAAATCAAATTTATAAAATATGCATAATAATACAAGAAATATACAAACACAAAATTTATTTAAGCTATGCTGTACAGAACGAACAAAAACAGCTCTTCAATTTATGAATTATTTTTAACATGAACTGTAAAACATTTAACATGAATTGTAAAACACGACGTCTGCGCATTTTTCAATGAGTACTCATAGAATTTGAAACTTTTCATGTTATATGTATAACTAAAAACTTTTAAATTTATGAATTATTTTTAACATGAACTGTAAAACATTTAACATGAATTGTAAAACACGAATTATGCGCTTTTTTCGATGAGAACTCATAGAATTTGAAACTTTATAATCTAAAAACTTTTAACAGAAATTGTAAAACACGACGAGTGATCAGAATTCACAGAATTTGAAACTTTTTATGATATATACCTACAGGTACATATAATTATATATGCACCCAATAGCTAAATGCATGATTGGTTTATGTGGGGCATGTTCTATGTGTGGGAGTATGGTATTGACTGTGGAAGAGTATCTGAAGTGTGTTTAAGTGTTTGTCAGTGGAAATATATGAATTTCGTACGCCCTTTCTGATGAGCTCGCAATGAGATGAGAATGATATTGGATTCGATATGGAATAAGAGGCGTAACACTTTATAGATGCATATGCATATGATATGTATTCATTAATCGTCTAGAAAATTAGAAAGAGTTGAGAGAGAATATATATATATTTAGATTAGAAGAGCATAGAGACAGTTTTGAATGGGTCAATGCTGTGGTTTATAAATGAATACACTGAATAAACGCTTAAGATACATATACAAAGATACATATAGAAATACATATGTATGTGTGTGAGTGTGATGTGATGAAACAACCGAAAACAAAAAAGAACAATTTGGAGCGCATTATTTATTAGTAAATAACATAAACATGGAACGTGAACTCAACTGGCAGGCATCGGAATATATATTATAATTGAATTGCTTCGGACATCGAATCGAACTTAACTTTAATGTTCTTAAATAATTGTTTTGTGAATGCTTCTTGCATCTACGTACCGGCAACAATTTTGCTGACTTGCATGACTTGCTGCGCCAATATCTGATTTAGCTGCAGTAAATGCTCGCGCTGCTTCTTCTCCGCGTTGATCTTGCTGGCAGGCAGCGTCTCGTTCTCCTGGAGGAAAAATAGATAGGAAGAGATTGAGTTCAGATAAATGTTATAAGTACTATATTTATCGATAATATTATAAGGGCTGCCCGGCTTTGCCAGGTTAAAGTTATTTTCTGTGAGCATAAAATGCCTTTATCTTTCATTATTATTTATATATTTAATTAAGTTATTTGTCAACTCTCTGAAATAATTTAGTAAATTCCGTCGTAAAAGGTAGTTAATGTGAAAAATTCAGCTTTCCAGCTCTTCCGGCTTAAGCTATGCCTTGATCATCAATCAATCAGTCAGTCAGTCAGTCAATCAACAATAGATCTAGTTATATTTCAAGAGATTACTTACATTGCTGCTTATGGGCGCTTCGGCGAGCATTTTTTTGATGGATTCAACCTTCTCCTGGCGACGCTTCTTCTCCTCCGGCGACAGTTCGGGCGTCTGTTGGTTTAGATCAATCAATTAGATCAATCAATTGAATCAATCAATTAGTACTCACTGTCTCTGGTATGTAACGCTCGGGTATGACTATCTTGTTGGGCGCCAAAAGCAAATTGTCAATGGTATTCTCGGAGATCTTCTCGCCCTGGCCCAGCGCGGAGCGCACCACATCGGGCGCATTGATGCGCGGACGCAACGCCACCTCCATATCCAGATCATCGCGTGCTCGCCAGTTGGTGTTCTGCGGCGGAACAAATAAATATGATTAAGCTGGACAATCTAAAGAGTCTATTGAGGCTTACATTGCGATTCATATCGTTCTCGGCCTGCACCTTCTCCATGGCCTTCTGGTTGACATTGTTGGGCGCCGTGTAATGCCGCCGCTTCTCGCGCGGCACGGCGCGTCGATGTTTGTGCGGCGGCGGCACGCGCTCTACAATCTTTTCGGTATCCTCCGAAGCTGAGCCGGCGGACATTTCGTTGATGATCTGACGCGCGGCGACGCTCTGGAAGACCGGCTCCGGACTGATGTCTGTCAGGCTCTTGTTAAGGCTCTGCAGCGAGTCGGTCTTGGTGCGCAGAGCCACCCTCGCGCTGTCCCTGCCCGGATGCGTCTGCTGCTGCAGCTGCTTGGCAAAGTAGGCATTGGCCAAAGGATTCAGATGCTCCCGCTGCTGCTGCTCCCGTTGCTGATGATGATGATGATGATGGCCATTGCTCTGAGGAGCTGGCGGCGGCGGCGCCTGATGCTCATAGTTGCTGTTCCGATCGTAGTCGGAGCCACCATTAAAATGGTGTCCATTCTGTTTGCCATTTAGATGACGGCTGTGCCGGGGCTTTGGCGGTTCACTGTAGTTGCGTGGCAGCGACTTGGAGCGGCTGTGATGCCCATTGCTCATTTGCTCCTCGAGGAGCTGTTGTTGCTGCTGCTGGTGCTGCTGCATCTGCTGAGCGTAGTGCTCCTCCTCGAGCACCTGATCAAGATTCTGTATGGAATTGCTGAGACCGCGCTCGCTGCGATCGCGATGTCGGCGCTCCGATTCGCGTTTCACAATGCGCACCGTTTTGATCTCCTGCTTCTCGAGATTGCTCAGATTTGCAAAGGGATTGCTGTCCAGAAAACCGTCGCTATCGACACCGCTCAGCTCCAACGCATCGCTGCTGCCATTGTAGCGACTGTAGTCGGTCAGCTTGCCGGGGCTGTTCGTGTTGGTGTCCACGTAGAGGGGCGTCGATAGGTTTAGCGTGGAATCATTTAGATGCTGCTGGCTGCCATTGTGCATATGCATATTGGCATCCAGATCGGTTTCGGTCCAGCTCGTTGAGTTGCTGCGCTTCTTCAAGCTGCCGTTGGAGCCATTCGGCGGGCTCAGCTCCTTGTTACCAATTTCCTGGTACAGACGCGTCGAGTTCTCCGTCAGCTGGCGCACCGCGGAGCTCAGTTCGTGCCGCTGCCGCTGCATGTCCCCGACCAGAGATTGGACACGCTCCAGCTCCGACTGCAGCACCGCCGCCGTCTGGTTGCCGTTCAGCTGGTTAGGATCGTTGCCTGCGCCATTCGAACGCGTCGCCTGCACCTTCTGCCGCAGCGTGAGCAGCTCCTGCTCCAGACGCGCATTGCCCGCCACGGTCTGCTCCAGTTTCTGTGAAATCACAAGACAAGGGTTTAGTTTACAGTTCTTAGGATGAGACTATGGCACATGCAGCAATCGCAGCAAATACATCATGTAGAAGTCTTTTGCATTTAATACTAAAACAAGAACTGGATTGAACTTAAACTAAGCTCTGGTACTACAGCTGGAAACTGTTCGTTTTACCATAAACTATATCGTTTCAAGCCCGCGAATCAAATCTGAGCCGCTTCAAGCTGAAATTTACATTTTTTTTACTAAAATCTGATCGAAAGTTTAACTTAACCGGATTCAAATCGAAACTCTTGGTCTTACTATAAATTTGTATGTTTACGTCTATGGGCCGAATAGGAAATTTCTTCTAGCTATAAATTTAAACCGAAGTAAAGCGAAATCCCAACGATTCGAATCAGAAATAAACATATTCAAGCAATGAACTGAAAGAAGGCCAAACAGCGACGGTTCGGACCAGAATTGTTTGGGTTTTTCTATAAAATACAATTGTTTGACTCCGAAATTTAGATTTTTCGAACTGAAGCGGTTAATAGATTATATTATTTGAACCCAAAATTTTATTATTTTTCACTAAAAGCCGAGCGAACCCTGATCTGAACCAGTTCGGATCAGAATCCCGTATAACATTTTTATCTTGAACGAACCTTAAGTTTTGATTTTTTCATAGAGCCAAATCAAGGCTGAAGTGAATCAGAATCGGCTTAAGCCGAACCATTTTTTTTAACTAACCCCTTTTTTTTTTGGTTTCGACAAATATTTTCTAAATGTTCAAATATGTAGAGAATTGGAAATGGAACCAAAATCAAAGTGCATGGCAATAAAAACCTGCGCCACAAACGTTGGAATTTAAATCGATTATTCTTTGGGTTTTTTTTCAAATATTTATAAGCTTGTCGGATTTATAAGGATTTGCGTAAAACGATCGCTGACCTCTTGAGGGTATTCGATTTGCACATCGAAACAAAGCAGTTAGTTAAATATTATTGTTTTTTTTTTTTGTGATTTTTCTCATTAGTTACATAAGCGACATGCGAAGCTCAAGCAGACAAAGACTAGATATTATATATAGTATATGAATATCTGACACATATAATGCAAAAAACTTCTACTAGGCACCTGGGCTACCTTTGAGTTCTCGGCCAGCAGCTGATGCACGCGGGACAGCTCCCGTTCCAGTATGTGCTGTTGCTTCTTGGCCGCCTCCAAAGCCATGGGCGTGGCATTGTTGTCGTGTATGCGCGCCCGTAGACCACCCAAAGCACGCTCCAGATCCTCCTTGTCACGCTGCAGGCTCTGCAATATGCCCGACTCCTCCTGTAGCAGCTGATCCAGCTGATAGAGCTCACGCACCTTGGCCTGAGAGGGAATATATACGAGAATGAACTGTGAGCTGTGATATCCAGCTGAGAATATATGTTACCTGCAACTCGGCCTGATTGGGACTGAGGCGCTCCCATTGCTTCTGCTCCTCCTGCAGCATTTGACGCTCCTGCATGCGCTGATTGAACTCGAGGCGATCCAGGGTCGCCGGCTGGGCTCGGCCATTGGCATCGTTGCGATAGAGCGAGCCCAGCTTGACCATGTTGTCCACCAAATTGACCAGCGGCTTGCTCTTCTCATACTGGCGCTCCAGGTCCAGCAAATGCTGCTTCAGATAATCCAAGCGCTGAATGCTCTCCGCCCGGGTGAGGCCCTCGGCGCCGCGTAATCGATTCTGCATAAAATTTAAATTGCATTGCATGAGTTGAAAGTTGAGTTGACAGCATTTTTTGGTTAGACAGATCGATTTTTAGTCACAGAAACCAACACCACAACCAGCACCCAATTTTTTAGAGCTCACAAATAGTTAACCACCTGCACATTGTGTATATCGCTGCAGCATTGCTCGATGGCCCGCGCCGTTTGGCTGCTCTGGCGGCGCAATTGGATTAGCAGCAGGACCAGCTCCTCGTGAGTGCGACTCAATAAATCGCCGGCCGAAACATCCAGGTTCTGTATTTAAATCAATCAATCAATGAAGATATATTTATGCCTATAACACACTAGCCTATAGACACTTTTCTAGATTTTCACTTGTTTTCCACCCATGTGAGTGAAAAGATAAAATAGATTTTCTTACTGTTTGTTGAGTGAAGAGTGAAAAGTAATCGAAACTTTCCCAGAACACAGAATTTCCCATTCGGCGTGCTCATCGCGTTCGTTGTATAAAAGAAAAATTAAAAAACTGGACACAAAAAAATCGGGGTTTCAACCATATTCCAAACGCTGTTGGATTTGCTGATTGAATCTCAAAAAGCGAGTTGAAAGACAATCGAATAAAACTTTAAGCAAAAATACAAATGACATTATAAAATTGTCCGCCCATCTTTCTTGCTTGTCTGTGGAATGACCCAAAAAATAACTCTTCTTTTAATGTCTGTGATAAATTGAACTTCCATGCTTGCATGGCTTGAGCTGTCAATTGGGGATTTTTAAAAAAGAGAAACACACTCTCATTTATGGACATTGCCTGCATTTATGCCTCGTCAACGGCAGCTCCCAATCACATGCCCCCTGACCGCCCACACTTACCCTTATCTGAGAGCTCGTCTCACGCTCGAGCATATCAATTTCAGCTCGACTGCCGGCACGTCGCATGGCAAATGGCAATTGTTGTTGCTGTTGTTGTTGTGGCGTCGATGTGGCCATGCCCACTGTGCGTCCGTAAGGAGCGCGATCTGTCAGCTGTGTGGCTTTGGCATATTTGGTTTCCGTTCCGTTGCCATAGTAGGGATCATAGTGGGCGAATGCCGAGTCCTGCTGCTGTTGCTGCAGCGCATCTGAGGGTTCTGGCTTGACCGTCAGATTGACCTTGGGCAAGTTGTTGACATTGCGCACCGATATCGAGGCTGTAAAATGAGTTGGACAATTATTTAATTGCATTTGGAGCAGGACTTGGCAGGCGGACTTGTAATTATAATGCGTGCGCGAAATAATTAGAGAAAAGCATTAAATCAGGGTTAAACAGCGGCTCAACTAAATACATTTTATTGTTTTTTTTTTCTTCTTCTAAATTTTATTAGCTGTCAGAAAGTAAAGGCGTCTACGGGAGCTGCTCAACGGGCAGCTTTTCGCAGAAAACTTTTGGCTGCGCGCAAAAGTATGCTACAGTTTTTGTTCAAGTTGTTCGACTATACAGCGTGTGTACATATGCGAGTGTGTGAGTGTGTGTTTGTGTGTGATAAGGAATGAATGTGTGTGTGATTGTGAATATTTACAAGCGCATTAATAATTACATAGATGTGGGATTCAAGTGTCTTTTGGTTTATATATATAAATATATATATATATAAATGTTTATAAAGAATATTGCTTACCATTTTGTTAATGTAACAAAACAACACAACAATTATGACAACAACAATAACAAATAACAATAAAAAATAGTGTAAAACAAAAACAAGCAACAAACTATGAAAAAACCATTGAAAAAAAAATAAACAAAAAGGCCTCTTTTGCGGCTTTTACGACTTTTAACTGCCAGCTTTCGCTTTCTCTTGCTCTCTCTTTCCCTCTTTCTCCCTCTCTCCTTCTCTTCTCTCTCTACAACTCTTAGTCTCTCTATATGTATCTATCGCTGTGCCTCTCTCTGGCTTATGCCTCTAGCCAGGCCAATAATTGCATCATTTTATTTAATTCTAAGCGTCGCACGTTGCGTATGCGTAATATTCTCAATTGTTTCTCTGTGCAGCCGCATTTACAATGGCATTCCCATTGGCATCGTTGCTGGCTTCACTGCCTCCATTTAGCTGCTGGATTATGGAGCGCACATTGCTGGTCAGCGGCAGCATGGGCCCACTGGAGGTGGGCGGTGTTCTGGTGGGCATGGTATCGGGATTATTGCTGCTCTTGAGCAGGCCGCTGGACATGGCGTCCCATTGGCGTATGGTCTCGCGATCCAGCTCGTTGGACTTGTGCGATAAATTGGAGCCCGTCTCCTCGCGCAGCACCTCGTACAGATCCGCATCCGTCGACGAGCCCTGCGCTAGCAGCTGCACATAGACATCGTGCTCATCGGCCGGATGGAGCGATGCTGCCTGCTGCAGACGGTGCGCCGTCGGCTTGTGGTTATCGTTCACATAGGTCACCTCGCGGCTGAGCTTTGTTTTGTGCGCCTGACTGCTGGGCGTGGTCATGGGCGCTGGCGTCGGTATGGGCGCGGCCGCCGCAATGCGATCCAGATCGTCCAGAGAGCGAGCGTGTCGCTGCGAGACGCGACGCAGGCTCTCGCGCCACAGTGCATCCTCCTCCCAGAGCAGCTCGCCACCTAGAACTGAGAGTTGATTCGCGTTATTCGTGGTGCTGCTCTTCTCTAGCTCTAGCTCCAGCTCCAGATCAAGCTCAGCTACGCCCACAACCAGAACCGACTCCGCTTCCGCCTCGGCCTCGGCCTCATCCAGGCTACCACCAGTCAGTTTAGGAGCGAGATTTGTGTTTTTAGTATTTGTAAAATGTGAATGAGTTGCGTTTAATGAACCATGACCATCTGGAGGCACTTGCTCCACCAGCTGCATGTTGTTGTTGTTGTTGTTGTTGTTGTTCAGCTTGAGCTGTTGACCCGCCTTCAGATTCTTGGTGCAGCTGTAGCTGAGCTTCTCCACGTTCGCCTTCATGCTATACAGATTCTTGCTGTCAATTGCCTGATCCTTGTCGACCAGCGCATCGACGACATCCACAAACTGCCGCCTGTCGATTGGATTATGTATGTGCGCTATATTAAGCCCAGGTGCGTGTATCTCCCGTTGATTGTTCAGCTGCGCCGCCGCCGCCGCCGCTGGCGTCGGCAGCTCCGAGTAATAATAAGGCGCCGATTGCGTCGATATATTGCTATTGTTGCGACTGTGCAGCGGGGTGAGGCAGGCGCCGGAGACGACACCGCTGCTGCTGCTGACCAGCTGCTGTATGGAGTCCGTGGAGGATAGAAAGTGTATATTGCCATAGAAATGCTGCTCATCGCCCTCGGCATTGCGAAAGATCTTCGGCGGCTTGATCAGCAGATCGGCGCCAGCTGCTCGGCTGGGCAACAGATCGCTGCCCTGCAAATGACTGAGATACGTGTCTAGTTCGTGGCTGCTGAGCGTCTCCTCGAAGTGTTCGCTCATCGATTCGATTTCGCTGATGGATTCCTGCGAGAGCGGACGACGCGAACGCTGACGCTCCAGCTCCGAATCGGAGCGCTGGCGAAACTCCACCGATTCGCTCGAGTCGCTGCTCGGCTGCACCTGGAGCTTGCGATAGAGCTCCAGGTCGGAGGAGGTGCGCGAAGAGCAGCTTTTCTCCGTCGGCCAGCTGTAATTGGAGTCGGATAGGGTGCGCGCGTGCTGTTGCTGCTGCTGAAGCAGCACCAGGGCAGTAGCCCGACGCTGCTGCTGCTGCAACTGCTCAGGTGTGCCGCGCACCTTGGCAAAGTGATCCGGCAGCGAGAGGCGGCTGCTCTTGAGCGCGGTGCTCGGCTCGGTTTTGGGCAAATTCAGCGAACTGTTGCTGGCGTGCATCTTGGGCAGCTGCTCGTATGATCTGTCGCGCCGGCGCACCGTATCGTAGTGTTCCGAGGAGAAGATCTCCTCCGTTTTTAGCTGCTCCATGGGCGGCGGCGAGTCGGGTATGGGCGGCGGCGGCAATATCTCGCTGTCCGAGCTCTCCGCATAGTTGTTCAGCGGCGTTGAGGCGCCCAGATAATACGACGCCGGCCGGAACGTGTCCGACAAGCTGAAACGTGTGCGGGAGCGCAATCTCTTCGCCTCCAGCTGCTGTTTGCTGCTCTCGTCGTCCGCATCGGAGCTGTCGCTGGCCGCCAGGCTGCTCTTCGTGGGCTTCAGTATGTCCGGCATGTCTTTGCCCGCACGTTTTTTCGTACACTTTTTGCTCTTCTTCTTCAGCGTGGAACGGCCCGAGGAGCAGTGCGCCTCCTCGCCAGCGGTTGCAGCGACTGCGACTGCGCCAGCCAGCTCCATGTAGACGGGTTCCGTGTGGACTCGGCTGCTGCTCTGGCTCGTGCTCATGCTCGTACTCGTCACCTGGCTGGCTATGCACATGATCTCGTAGTTGCTTCTGTTGTCTTCGTCGTTCAGATTCTTGGTCATCTCAACGTAATGATTCTCCTCCTCCTCCTGCTGCTGCTGCTGCTGCGTAGCTGCCTCCTCCTCCTCGGCGTGCATGGCGATCAGACTGAGCGTGCCCGGCTGGCCCAGCTCCACCTTCTTGGGTGTCATGGGTAGATAATGACTCTCGTCCAATGCCTGATCTGTCAGCGACACGGATTCATTTGCATACAAATTGCCTTCTACAGGCGCAGGAAGAGGCGTCTTCTCCTCTACATTATCCTCCTTTTCCTCGTTGTCGTCGTCGTCCTGTGCCAGCGCCTCGTCTATGTCATCGTCTGTGTACTCCTCGCAGGCGGTGCTCTCATCCTCCTCCTCTTCCTGGTCCTGTTCCTCCTCCTGTTCCTGTGCCTCCTCCTGCTTCTGTTTCTCCTCCTTCTCCTGTTCAGGTGCTGCCGCTTCACCTGGCGTTGGCTTTGCCTCCGCTGTGGGCGTCAGGTCCTCCTCCGATTGTTGTTGCTGCTGCTGCTGCTGCTGCTGCTCTTGTTGCTCCTTGTACAGCTTCAGTTGCATCAATATGGGCGTCTCCTCGGCATCGGTTATGGCCAGCTTATTGCTGTACACGGGCACATAGTTCACATTCTGCGGGGATTTCGGTGCCTGCTTTTTCGGCAAAATGGGCACCGGCTGCAGCTGCAGCTTCAGCTTGGGACGAAGAGGCGGCTGCTGGCCCACACTGGGCTGCACCTGAATAATGGGCGTGCGGCTGGCCTCGTGCACCTTCAAGATGGGCTTCAGCTGGAAGCTCGGGCTGCCCACATTCTCTTCTCCTCCTCCTGCTGTTGTTGTTGCTGTTGTTAAATTTGAGCTAAGACTAATTGTTGTTGTTGCTGTTGCTGTTGTCTCTGCTATTGTTATTGTTGTCATTGTTGCAGCTGTTGTTGTTGTTGTGTTTTGTGTGCTAGTTGTTGTTGTTGTTGTTGTTGTTGTTGCTGTCGACCTTCCTGCCGTCACACTTATGTTATCATCCAGCCCCGGCCCAGCTGCGCTTTGTGCGTTTTCTTTATCTTTTTTTTTTTGTTCAAACATTTACAACATTTACAAAAAAATTTCAATAACCACAAAAATGGAAAAGAAAGTTATATAAAATAAATTTTTTTTTTAAATATTTTTTTTTCGTGTTTCAGTTTTGAGCCCATGATTTAAGTTGTTTATTTATTTTATTTTGAGTTGGGTTTTAGTGCGAAATTTACAGCGGCTTTTTAGTAGACGAAACACCAAGCACCCATGATTGCCATAATTGATGAAAATGTTTTAAAAAAAAAACCAAACTACTCAAGGAAATCAACTGCAGTCTGACAACAAATTGAAAGTTTAATCAAACTAAAGAAAATGCCAAAAAAGAACTCGGCGGCTATTTTGATTAATTTAAACAAAAAGGTGGCCTGCTTTTAGGCTTGGGCTCAGGGAACAGATTAAATTCAATATTTGTTTCATTTAATTGGCCATAAATAAATATGTGTGTGTGGCAGGAAGGTATTTTGTTTTAATTATTATTCAATTGTTTACACATTTTGCCCTTTGTTTTCTGGTTGCCTTTGCATAACACAAATTAATTAAAACATAAAAAATGCAGCTAACAAAATTAAAAAATACATAAACTACAGTATTGTTTGTTTAGTTTGGCATCGTTTTAAATTTGCATGCAGTTGTTAGGGGGATGAGTTGTTAATAGTTCGCATATGGCTAAAAGTGTTACCTAAAGCAGCAGCTACTTAGTTTCTAGATAGTATAGCATAACTATTAAAGTTACAAAGCTCAAAACTACTCTACAAAGCAGTTGCCAGCTTAATCATAGATATTTACAAGGCTGCAGGCGCTAAGAGAGGGCTGGGCGAGGGGGGCAGCAGGTGTATGGGGAAATACAAAACAAAGCTATAAGCACGACCAGAATAGGCCAAAGGCAGCTGCAGAAGCTACACTCAAAGAAAAGAACCATACAATTTCCAGGATTCCATTTAAATGGCAAAAGATATCGAGTAGACAAAGCAAAAATTTACATTGAACAAAAATAAAATAATCCTATACCCTAAAATACGTGCTCCCCGTTCCGATGCTTAGTTTTTTAGGAAAAGATCAAAAGACAGATCATTCTGTTTGGATCATTTTATCTCCGAATGTTTACAATAATTAAAGAAGTTTCTTACATTAACATTTTTTTGTGCATACTTTTTTTGAGATAAAAAAAGAAATGTAATTTTTTATACAAATGGATTTTATATATATATTTATTTTTGTTTAGAGAATTTTGAACAAACTTTTTTGAAATATTAGAATGTTTTTTGTTGTATTTTTCATTTTATTTTAATTTTGTATGCACCTAATTTTTTTGAGTGTAGCTAAAAGATAGCTGAAAGGCACTTCCATTGCAACAGGAGAGCAAAGCCAAAGAGCTAACAAAAGTAAAAGTAGAAACTATGCCAGACAAGGGCAAACTTGCAACGTGATAAAGAGAGAGATAGAGCGGGAGAGAGAGAGAGAGAGAGAGAGAGAGAGGGCGAGAGAGTGCGCGAGACAGAGATAGATTCAGAGTATAGATAGACTTAAAGCAAAGCAAAAAAAATGGGGGGCGGGTAAAATTGTGCATAATAAAAAGGAAAAGCAAATCATGTACTCACCCTCATCATCCGAGGAGTAGCTGTTGTATACACCGCCGGGACCCATATTCGCGTGCGTTTCCGATCTGGAGCGCTGAATGCCCACCGAGCTGCCGCTGCCGGCTGCGGCAGGATTGGAATTTGTGGCTGCTCCAGGATTGCCGACGAGCCCGGTTTTGCCCGCATGCGGGCCATAGCGTGCACCGCTGGCCACGGCCGTGGAGGCAAGCAGGATATTCGGATTGCTGCCCAGCTTGGACATGGCCGACATATTGTTAGCGCCCTGCTGGACGCCTTTGCGTGTTAACGGGGACTGCAGCATACGCTGTTTCCATTCGAGCAGACGCTTCATGGACTCCTCGCGCTTGCGTTCGCCATCGAGCGGATTCGGCGGCGATGGCCCGGCGCCCGCCGTCGGCGATGTGGCCAGCGAATTGTTGGCCGTCGAGTAATCGTCATCCAGGCCGCCGTTGCGCTTGGGCAGCCGGGCGCTGGCCGAGCGCAGGAACTGCTCGTTCTTGCTGATGATCTCCTGCGTGGACATCGAGGGCGGGAATATGGAGCCCGGATGCACATTAAGTGGCGGCAAGTCCACATCCTGCTGTTGTTGCTGTGCGTGCGAAGAGACGGAACGTGCCGCGGCACCGCCGCCGGCTCCCTGGCTGGCCGAGCGACTCATCCGTGGCATGCTGCACGCGGCGCTACCCTGCGCAGCCTGCGCCTCGGCGAGCAGCTCCTGGCGCTGATGGGCGCGCTCATAGGGATTCTCATAGCCAATCGTGTGCATGCCGCTGCCAAATTCCGCGATGCGATAGCTGCCCGCCTGCTGCGGCTGGGCGCCTCCGCTCTGCAGATACAACGCGCTCTTGCGCATCTTCTCCGCATAGCTCGCCTCTGAGTAGTAGAAACTGTCCGGCGTGCGATTAATGTCCAAACTGGATTTGGGTCGCGGTGCACGTCCGCCCGACTCCTGTTTGCTGTGCGCCACGGCTGCGGCGGCGGCAGCGGCCGCTGCCTCGGCACGCGCCTCGTACTCCAGAAAGTCGGCAGAATGCGGACGCACAATCGCCGCCGCGGACTGTGCACGCAAGTCCATGTTATTGATTAGCTGATCGGCGGCCGCGGGCTGCGAGGGGAAGAGGAGAAGAGAGAGGCAGTTCAAATGGCAGTTAGTTTGGTTTCGTATATAAAGTGGATTTTGCATGCGAAATGAGAGCCTGGCATAAATCATGCACGCGACTCGTTTCCTGGCTGACCCACAAAAGCAGCTGCAGCCGCGTCCAAAAGGGCGAGCAGCCCATAAAGTTGCACTTTGGGCGTGCAACGTGTGGCAGCTGCGGCAATTGCCGCACAAAACGTCTGCAATTTAGCTACCCACTGACATACTAAACTCTAATTAGTGGGCGCGCCAAAACGGGCGGCGCGCACTTACCGCCAACTCTTTGCGAACTGCAACTGAGTTTAGACAAGCTGCAGGCGCTGCCCCTTAACTCAAGGCACAGCCGGAGTCCTTATGTTCTCGCAAAAAAAAGCCACAAAATAATATTTCTACATGCATTTGTAATTCAGTTTCTCCATTTAACTGAGGCGCGAAGCTAGTTATGATATAGTCCTCGAGATAATACAATTATGTTCTGAATATAGTTGTAATTCTTTTTCCTTTTTTTGGTTTAACTAAGGCATGAAGCTAGTTATGATTCATATTCGATGAAAGTTAACTGAAGATACTAAGTCCCATACCTCTTACTCTTCTAGTCCGCGAGATAATAATATAATTCCTACATAGAGTTCTATTCCCTTTTTTTTTTTTTTTTTTGGCTTAGCTGAAGCGTGAAGCTACTTATGATCCGTATTAGATCCAAGTTTTATTTCTCTAACTCTCATGGTTTCTGAGCTCGAGTACTTTTGATAATATCTTAGGCCTGAAGGTACCCGACCCTGTTCACCACGAACATTTATATTACTCTTGTAGAGACCCTTTTACAGCGTATTAAAACTTCCGTAAGCCACACGAGCAACTTCACCTTGTTTGTCAAATCTCATAAATTTATAAAGCAAATTATAATTTTTAATTCCATCAGATGTTTAAACAAGGCGGAACGCAACTACTGTAAGTATTCACTACTCATATATGAAAGTTTTCATAGAAGTTTTTGCTTTTCGTAAAGATTAAAGTGGTGGAAATTATTTGACAAACCTTAATTAGTTTCCGCCAACACACTTCATACATGTTAGTCTACATAAAGTGCGGTAAAAACTTTTTACGCGCAGTAAATTCTAGAGAATTTCAGGATAGCTGTATTAATCCTTCCTTCCTCGTTGCTTCCTTGTGAGATTCACGAATGAGAGTCTATGTAAGACAGCAATCTAAGCCTAACCTAAGCTAACTTAACCCCAAACTAATCGTACTTAACACAACTAATAACGACAACGAGAAGAGAGTATTAACTCTTTCCAAATGTTTGCTGAGATTATCTCTGCTACCTTAATATCTGTCTGAATAAAAGTCTATGTAAGACAACAATCCGAGCCTTATCTGATTTAGCCCAACTTTAGCAAACCTAACCTAACTTAACGGCATTTTAGGTAAGCCAACCTACTCAAAAAGTACTTTCATCTCTAGGAAAATCGTATCGCTAATGCAATCGATTAAATGGTGTGTGTGTGTGTGTGTGTCAAATGCTTTACGCTGTCTATCAATCATTTTGTTGTCGAAAGTTATCGCAAGTCAAAAACTTTTTCCATTGAACATAAGGTGGAATTGATGATAGCCAAGGGAGGACCCGCAATAAAGTAGATATACGGAAGCCAAATGCAAGATGCTAACCCGGTTAAAGAAGAATTTAAGATGTGACGTGGCATTTAAAATGAGGAGAAAAAAAATGAAAGAACCAGCGACAAACTGTTGAGTAAATATTCGCTAGAAAATGAAAACTAAGTTTTAAATGTGGAGCTGGTGACTCGAAAACTGTAATCTCAAGGCAATCAGATTCAAACTGTAAAGAGCATAACTCGAAGATTATAAGAGCTCGATACAGCAACTTCGGTATGTAGGTTCTTGGATGGAATACAGATGGGAGAAATATTTCGCTTTTTGAATACCTTCCGCCTATTTTAAGATACACGAGGCGGCTCTAGTCGGGCACACCCAACTGACACACAATTACTTTTTAAAGGAAATAAAATGGAAAGGTTCTAATTGTAAGAAATGAATTGGAGTTCCGAGCTAGGTTCGACATAAAACGATTTGCCGCCTAGGTCCTAGTTGAAGAGAAAGTGAAATCTGACAATTCCTATTCAACAACGAACTTGATGTTAAATGCATTGTGCTCTTCGATTGGCCGCAAGTGTACGCAAAGTAAAAGCCTGTCTGAGTGTTGAGGTAAACTTTTAAGTAGGCCAAACCCTCGACCCTAACCAGGAGTGTGGGCCACATTTGGCCAAGGTGCAACTTTTTGGCTTCTATTGGGCAAAGTTGGCCCAGCTCAAGCTGGACGGAGTGCAATTGGGCCAGGGGGTACCTACCTCCAAGTGGTTGGGCGTATAGCGTTGAGGCATGGCGGGCACATGCTTGCTGCCATCATAGCTGGGCGGACTTAGGGGCCGCCTATAGCTGGCTGCCTCCTGAAGCAGAGCCTCGTGGGCGCTGAGTGCGCCGCCGCCGGCGCCCGCCAGCTGTGACATATTGTAGATGTCCTCGTAGTCCGCGGCAGCAGCGGCGGCGGCGGCAGCGGCAAACATGCGCTGCTGCTTGGATCGGCCGTAGGCGTCCGGCGTGCGTCGCTCCGCCTGCAGCTGGAGCTGCTGCAGCTGCTGTTGCTGTTGCTGCTGCTGGGTCGGATAGGGACGCTGCATGAGCTTGGCCATGTAGAGATCCCGCTCGCCGTAGATCTCCTCTACCGCACGCTGCTGCTGCAGGCGGGCGATCTGCTCCTCCATGTCCAGATGCTGCTGCTGGAACTGCGCCTCCAGATGATCCAGCGAGTACTGCTGCTGCGCCTGCTGCAGCTGCAGCGCCGTCGACACATGGCCCGTGCGCGTATCATAGATGGCATGATGCTGCTGCGCCTGCGGCTGCGGCTGCGGCTGCTGAGATCTTTGCTGATAGAGCTGCTGCTGCTGCTGTGTGCCGGGCGAGTGGATGCGGCGACTAGGTGGCAATGGCTGCTGCTCGTTATGCTCGGGCGAGGGCGAGGAGTAGCCGCCGTCATTTATGCGTCGCGGCTTGGGCGGCGCATTGGCATACAAAGGCTGAGCACCTCCGCCCGCTCCTGGATTATCGGAGGCGGGAGTGACCTGCCCCTTGCCCGGTTGCGATTGGAGTGTGTGTATGCCCGAGTCGGAGTTCTCGCCGCTGTGATTCAGCGAGGAGCTGACGCTTGGCTCCGATTCACCGCTGCTGGGCGCCTGCATGAGACTGGCCGCTGCCAAGGCTCGGACCCACTGCATCATGGAGTCGGCGCTGTCAGCGGCCAGCCAATAGGTGCGCATATTCTGATGCTCGCACTTGAAGGCGAACTTGCGATAGATCTTGTCCTCCGGCAGGCAGGCGGCGACGCGATACGACGGCAACAGCACCGAGCCCAGCAGCTTCTCCTCCTCCGGGCCTTTGTAATAGTAGAGACAATATTCAGCCAGGACAAACCAACGTTTGCGCCACACCTTCAGACCATCGGAGCCCTGCTTGTGTAGCCAGCCGGAGAGCGTGACGGGCGTCGTGGGTGGACGCTTCGTAATGGGCGACTTGAGGGCCTGCATCGAGCCGATGCTCTTCTTGCGATCGAGCGGCGCATGCGTGGGACTGCGCGTCGACGCCGATGAGGACTCCTCCGAGCTGGGCGTCGGCTTCGGCCTGGTCACGCTCGAGATTTGTGTCTGACAGGCCTGATTCACCACATGCCCAGGATGATTCTGTTGTATATAGACGGGCCCGTGCTCACTGCCAGGCGTCTGCTGCTCCGGCTTGTGACGTTGCTGTTGCTGCTGCTGTTGCAATTGTTGCTGCAGCTGTTGTTGCTGTTGCAGCTGCAGCTGTAACTGTTGCTGCTGCTGGGCATAGAGCTGCTCCTGGTAGTGCTTGGGCAGCTGCTGCTGCTGCTGCTGCTGCTGTAGCTTCAAAGGGCCCGAGGCAGCCTGATATTGATTAGCCAGATTCAGCGTGGAAGGTGGCGCCCGCTGCTGCTGCTGCTGCTGCTGCTGCTGGAGGGTCATGTTGGAGACCATGCTGGAGGATTGGCTCATGTGGTAGTGGCCCGTGGGCGGATTCATGGCCTGGCGCATGGCGAATGTGCGCTGCTGCTGCTGCGCCGCTTCGCTCTGCGTGGCCAGCTGTGCCTGCATCTTGGCCTGCTGCAGCTGTTGGTATTGCGCCTGCAGCGCCGAAATGGGATGTTGACCCGCGGTCGCATTGCTCGCCTGCAGTCGTCCAGCAGCTGCCAGATATGTGCGCTCCGTGGGCGACTGATACAGCTGCTCCCCACCGCCTCCTCCTCCGCCGCTCGAGTACGACTGATGATAGGGTGAGCTGTGCGAGCTGCTCGAGTTGCCGCCATGCGTATGCTTGAGTAGACCGTGCTTCGACTGCGGCTGCATCTCGATGGGCGAGAGCGGGCCGCCGCCGCCGCTGGACGAGGTGGCTGTCGGGGATTGCTGGTAGAGCGCCTGCGGCGCCAGATGATAGCCGGCGGGCGAATGTGTTGCCGTGCGATAATCAATCAGATTTGTTTGATAGGCCAGCGGCAGTTTCTTCTGCTGCTGGGCTGCCGTTGCCGCCTGTAACTGTTGCAGCTTCTTGGCGTCCATGGTGCCGGCCGTGAAGAGCGGTGGCGCCTCCAGCCTGCAAACGAGAGAGAGAGAGAGAGAGAAGGGGAAAGATCAGACACAGATTGTAAATAACGTGGTGCAGCAATTAGCAAAGGTCGCCGGCATTAATTCAATTGCGACAGCAGCTTAAGCTCGCCGCTTCAACGTGGCTTGCGCCCCAAATGAACCAGAGAGCCGCGCCAAATCCGCGCCAGCGTCCGGAACTGTGCAACGTGGGCTCAGCGCGTAATTGCTGGTAATTGATTGAGTGCAGTTGCTGTGCCCCACTAAAGGCAGCCCAGCTCGGCTTCGGCTCCGGCTGAACCCATTGAATGTGGGTAAAAAAAAATGTACATTGATTTTTATGCAAGTGCATGTTGCACATAAAAAGAAGAAGAGTTGATTCAATGAATTCTATGAAGCGTATTTTATTTAATACATAAAGAGAATTAATTGGAATTAAATGCTGTGCGCCGAATTAGAATACACAATTTTCTAAGAGCATACCCGTCATAATAGAAGTGAGGTATATAAATATATATTCCTGATCAACATCTGCTTATATACATTGCACTTGCCAGTTTTGCACTTTCCGCGCATTTAATTTTGTTTTTAATACATATTCAGGATTTAACAACTTACCAGTCCCATAGCTGATAAATGCAGCCAAACATGTTTTCGCTTTTTATTATATTTTATTTTATTTATTTTAATTTTTTATTGTAGACGACCTAATTAATTTATAATTTAATTGGCTTTATCAATAATTCAATTGCGCGCACTTTTCCAATCGCCTTTTTTGCGACACTTTTTATATTATATTAATTTTATTTTGATTGTATGCGAATACTCAATTACGCTTTTCTTTCTCATTTTCCAAATGAAATGTGGCGAGAGTCTCGTTTTATTTTTTGCCTTCTTTTATTTTGTGATATGTTTAGTTCGTGCCACGCTGTCAGAGAATGAAAATATCGCCCAGTTGCCCAGTTGAAAATTGTGTGAAAAATAATGTCTATTTTTATTGAGGACAGCCGCCAGATTTATGCCTCACAATTTCGGATGCAAATTGAAAATGCGTTTGCAGCTGAACATTTATTTCATTAGGCGCAAAGAAATATATCTCCGAGCATACACTGAGTAAATATTATTGTTTTATTTACTCGCAATGCTGATGAAATATTTTTGTTGTTTGTTTTCAGAAACACGTTAAAAAAAATATTCGAAATCTGTTGAAATTTCAATTAGAAAATAAATTCAACAAATTGTTCATAGTAATAACGTTTGCAAAATATTTGCCTTTTTTATAGATTCCAAATCATTTAATTTACAATTTTTTTCCCTCTTCAGAACTTGAATAAATTGTAAACTTTCCTAATGGAACTTGTGCAAAAATTTAAGCAAAAATTGTGAATGCAAAACGGATTTTCATTAAAAATGAATGGAAAAATATATTAATTTTTAGAAGCAAGGAATTTGTAAATCATTTTTGCTTAAATCAACAACTAGCACAGCAAGTCATGAGGACCATTCACAGGAATTTACTAATATGCTAGAGGAAATTGCCCGGCATCATCTGTGTTCGCTGAAGAATATCTATAGTGCAAGTGAGGGATTGAGTGATTGACGCCACCTTCAGACACAGGCAAGTAAATTTAACTTGTAAATTCTAATTAAATACAAATAAAATAGTAATAAATACATACAAAATTTACGTGTTTACTGAGCTATTACCTAAACTGTTCACATCAAGTTCTACCTCAACCCTCAATATTTCTATTCCGGCCCAATCGACAAAGTAGGCAACTCATTATTGCGCTTCTTGTTCATACATGTGCCAATCTGTATCTGTTTAAGATAGAAGCGAGTGCTCTCCTTTTTGATTATAACTGATTATAGCTTAAAATTATTTCTTCATATTATATTTCTTAGCAGTCTAACAACAGCGGACTCTTGCTTAACGCTCAGCTTTAACCACTCTTGAATTATAAGCAAGAAAACTTTAACATTCTTTAAAAGTTGCCTGCTGCACGACCAAGCTGGCAAACCAACCTGGCAGCCAACGACCGCAATTAAATATGACGATTTCTGCCTGAATGGAAGCAGATACCTTTACATTCATATTATTTATATATATACATATATATTTGCCGCAGCTGTCAGATGAGCCACTGTCGATAGCGAAGTCAACGGGAAAATGCATTTAATGCAATTGACCAGAGCTTTCCAATTATTTGACACAAATGAAATGAGAGTCACAGATATTTGTGTGTGGCACATAAAATAATCGACATTGCATTTGCGAAATGAGTTATAAATTGCGTATATCATTTTTTTAATGCAGCTCACAATCGATTTTTGAAAAACAAAATCAAAAAAAAAAATAACATGCATGGCATGCTTCGAGGGGCGCCTGCCACATGCCGCATAGGCGGGGCCAAGGATGTGTTAGAGCCAAGTTAACAGCGCCTGGCAACACAATAAAACTTGGCACAAATGTCGACGTTTGTGCATTAAAAGCAAAGTCCTGTTGAAAATGTTGCGCAATAAACAAACAATTGATCCGGGATTTAAGCACAAGCGTGTGCGTGTGTGTGTCTGTGTGTGTGTATGTGTGTGCGCGTGTGTGTGTCGCTTGTTTTGTTGCCAACAAATGTTAAATCATGGCATTAGCTGCCTTCGGCGTGGCCATTTCACGCTACAATCAACAGCCAACAGCCAGGCTGGCCAAGTAACAGAAGGATGAAGGCTGACCCAGCCGAAGAGCAGGAGCAAGGAGTAGGGAGAAGGGATAAGGAGGAAGGGGAAAGCCATTTTATAATTGCCTTCGAGCCGGGCCACAATTTGTATGGCTTTCAATTAACGCTTTCCCAGCCAGGCATTTTCCACTCCGCAACAGAAAGATGTGGCCAAAAGCAAACGCACAAATAAAATATTGGCAGGCGAAACAATAATAACAGCCAGAGTAGCAATAAAAGGCACAAGACAGAAGCAACAGCTTACTGACAGGCAGATACCCTGTAAATAGTTTTTCTATTTATCTTTAAATTTATCTATATAAATGCAAGAGTTTAATCTGATTGCAGAAAGTCGTAAACGCTTTGATGCTTACATTTTTACTGAGGGTCGCACTCACAAGCGAGAAGTCGATGGTTCAAATCTGGAATTTCTTATAAGTTAACGGTTATTAAACCCTTTTATAGCAGCTTTACATCTGCGGGGTATCAAAAATCGATGGCGATTTAACAAACGAGCTCAGGACTTGGCTGTCTTGCACAGCTAGCACTTCAGCATAAAATAGTGTTGGAAAAGGCATTGTATTCCTGCCAGCACTGTCTGTGTGTGTGTGTGTGTGTGTGTGTTTGAGAGTGTGTGAGTGACGGACCTCACTAATTTGTGCATGAAAAATAGGCAGAAAAAGTATTTATTTTATGCACGAAATGTAACAACGCGCTACTCCACAAATTATGCGCATATAAATTGCAACACACACAGACACACAATTATTATATATATTGCATATTTACATAAAGCATATGCACAAATTATTCATTCAATGAAGCGCACTCGTATCATCATCTAGCGAATATATGATTATTTACTTAACACATTACAATTTTAACGATTAGAGATTGACTCTCTCTTTTTCTCTCTCCCTCTGTCGATTGGGTTTTATGTTTACAATCAATTCAGCTCGAAAATACCAAAAGCAGTTTTGTTTAACATTTACAAAGTCTTGCGCTATTTGCATTTGGTTTGCTTGTGGACTATGCAAAATGCAGAGCTTAACATTTCATAGCTGTCAAGAATGAGGTTTTCGAAAATAACAACTCCATTCAGCTCCCAAATGTCAGTCGCATGTGAGCTTCAATTAGCTTACTTATTGCGCATACGCCGTGTGTTACGCACAAATAAGCTAAAGTTATAAATAGAGTACACGACCTGTTTGTGCTATAAATAGACTTGGGCATAAGCCAAAGTCAATATGAATATACGAGCAGAAAAATGTAATTTAATTGGAAAACAATTTTCCGGTTCTTTTCCTAGCTTACGCCTGGATTATTGCACATGTATTTGTTATTTATTGCGTGTAGTTTGGTTAAAAAGCTTGAATTTCAGGAAAAGTTCATGCTTTGAATTCATTTTGAAAATCTTTAAAAATATATTTAAGGCTAACAAGTATTTAATATTTTGGTTTCCGAAGGTAACTTTCCTCAAGATCTGTCGATTACAGCACAAAAGTTAAGGCTCGGACTGGGAGCTGACCATCAATCAGTCAGTCAGTCAGTCTGTCAATCAATCAATCAGGATCAACAATTTGGTTTAGAATCTGTCTTAGCAAGCCCAGAAATCATAGCCTACAACTTGGCGTGGCGTGGCGTTTCAGCTTTGAAGTCGCGTATTAATTGCTGCCACGCATGCAACATGCATGTTACGCGGCAATGCGCTGGCCAGCCGCAAATGACGTCATGGACATTGGCAGCAAGTGTCGCTCCGGCAAGTGGACACTAATAAGAGCCGAAGATACGAACCACAGCCACAGCCACAACCACAGCCAATGACCCACTCAGCGAGCCATTTCACTTGAAAGCGTGTTGCCAAGCTCAAGCAGCCAGCGGCAGCTGAGCTGGCCAAGAGGCGAGCGAGTAGTTGGCCAACTTAATTAATACTGTGAAGGATACTCGCCGGCTCACCCAACCACCCTCTCACCCACCCACTCGCCCGCTCTTGGCGCATTTGTAAGTACGTAAAGTGCAATTATAAATATACTCATCAGCCGGATTTCGAGGGGAAACGGAAGTAGCTGAAAAAAAAAAAAAAACAAAAAACAAACCGAGCCGCAAAATGTGTGTAAATGTGTAGCATAAACTTCTTTGCAACAATATAACAAAAGGAAAAATCAATAAACGAGTCGAGTCCAGCCGCAGGCACAAGGCAGCGAATACTTTTGGAGACGCACGCAGATACTTGTACAATGTATACACAAATATAAATATATATATATCTGTTTATTGCTGGGCAGAGAGCTATGGAAATGCTGACAAAGTTGCTGTGAGAATTACACACACATATACGCAGACAGCAGCTACAATGTGTCGCGCTGCGGGCTAGCAGCTTAGTAAAAAGGAAAACCTTTTACTTTTTCTCTGTAATACCCTAAACCCATAAAAAATAGTTAGAAAGGGTAAATTAGTTTTGTGCATATTTAGGTAACAGGCAGACGAAAGCATCTTCGATCCTACAAGGTGTTTATATATAAACTGTATATATAATTATCTATTCTTGATGAGCTTGATAAAGTGAATTGATCTTTTCGAACTTTTACTTTTAAATATAAAATCGCCTATTCATATATCTCGATATCTCCGACCATTCTTTATTATTTCGATAAATATCGATTTTGAGTCATTTAAGACTTTAACTCGAGAATTATAGAAGCTAGATATGCCAAACTTGGTATGTTTATGCTCGTATGCTACAAGTCACCCCCCCCCCCCCCCACCCCTTACCCGGAAAATTGACAAAAAATTCTTACGTAAGTACTTCATAATAAAAGTATGGGAAAGAAGAAGCGCAGAGTTGCGTGTATCTTTTCCGTAAAGGAAAGCTGGATTGTCCAAAAAGTTAAGTGCGCTTAGGGTATCTCTTAATCGGGCACTTGCGACCAGAGCATTTTTACTGGTTCCTTTTTTTTTTGTAGCATATCTTGAACGCCTCTGGGCTATTGGCACATGAC